GCTCTTCCGATCTAAAGCAAAGCAAAGCAAAGCAAAGCAAAGCAAAGCAAAGCAAAGCAAAGCAAAGCAAAGCAAAGCAAAGCAAAGCAAAGCAAAGCAAGACTGAGAGACAAGACAAGACAAGACACAACATAACAAGACAGACAAGACAAGATAGGAAAAACTATAGACCATATACTAATGTGCATATTTCAAGGAAGGAGTATAGTTTTAATGTTATCCACCATTTGTTACCTAAGTTGCTGTGGTTCAGTAATGGCTAATCCCATGTTGTCACTAGTTACCAGTCCTCCAGAAGGTGAAGCCCTGGTTATCTTAGGCAACTCATCTAATAGCACCATACTAAGGTTACTTGGATCATAATTTTCAAGGCTGCTACCACTCTCAGCACGTCTGCATTAGAGAAAATGGGGTTATGCCATTTATTATATATATTATAGACAAATTATTGTAATCTCACATACCATAAAAAACAACGCAAACATCRACATCATTATTTAAAAAAATTCACTAACAATGTTGCTATCACCAAAATAAGATCACTTCTAAAAGTACTGGACTGTCATAAATTACACTCCAATGTTACCCAGGGATTGTCACTTGTTCGCATTGCTTTACATTTAACCAATCCTCCCCCCCCCCCCCTCACAAAAAAACAACAACAAAAAAACACACACCAAAAAACAAGTCAATCAACAAAAGACTGCTGGTATTGCCAGTAGTTGGTCTAAAGACAATGCCAACAGTTTGACAACATTCTTATCTTGGCTTGTTGTATAGCTGCAATGCAAATGTCAGCAGAGCTTCACTAAATCATCCCTGTGACCAAGTTGACAAGCAACTTTATATTATCTGTAAATAAATATAGCACTTACTCAATGATGTCTTCCTTCATTTCTTGACTACATCTTGGAGCACGATAGAAAGTCTCAGGACTGCTAGAAGCTTCAACATCAGCATCAACCACTTGTAGTAATGATAAAGAACCCTTGACCGAAACTGATGGAGAGACTTCCTCATTGGATGGAGATGGCGTAAGAACATCACCACCTACATCTTCAATATTACTTTTCTTATTTCCATCCTGCTTGTTTGAAGAAGGATTTTCAGTGATTTGAGTGTTAATGTGTTTAGAAGATTGCTCATTTATAATAATATCYGGATTAGGTTTGTTGAGTAGAGCACTGTCTTGTTTAATTTGTATAACATTTGAGTTTTTTGTTAAACCATCCATTGCAATCTCCAGGGATGGTTCATATGCATTGTCATAATTATGACTTAAGTCACTGTCACTTACATCACCAGAACTTAATGTTCCGTCACTTAAAATATCCAATAAATCGTCGCTATCAGGTTTAATCCTTCCACTTCCTTTGGGTGATTTTTTATTATCTTCTTTTTTATTTTTTGGCTGATCACGTTTTTCACTATTGGTTGATTTTTGATCAATATCTTGTAAATTCATTTCTTGTTTAGCAGTTTGTTGTGAAACTCTGGGTTGTAGATCACTTAACAACAATCCTGATTCTGTAGAAGCAGATATTTCCTCTTGTTCTAATTTTTCTGGTTTTTCAGTATTACTGCTATGTATTGAAGCTTTCTCTTTAGGAATTTCTTTGTCTTGAATTTTATTTTCAACTGGTTTTTCATGTTTTGAATTTAAATCAATTGCCAACTCTAGAGGCTTTTCAGGTGGTTCATTCGGTGAGTGTTGGGCTGAGGCTGGACTTCTAACCTCTGTTTTTTGTGGATCAGACACATTTAACTGAGAATTCAAAACAAGTGAATTAGTATTCGACAAATCCATCTTGCTCAAACAAAGATATATTATATAAAATAGATATATATCATTTAAGTTGATTAGCAAAACAGTTGTCAAAGTTCTCAATAGTTTAAAACTATAGCTTTTTCTAAGATAATGTAACTTACTTTGTGGGGTTCTTTGTATGTGTCTTCATGTTGATCCTGGAAATGTCTATCGTCTGTATACCCATACTCTGCCTGTTGCTGACGCCCACCTCTTGACTGTCTGTCCTGTGGATGGCAATCATGTGGAGGACCTTTTTGCTGTGGATACCCATCTCTTGACTGTCTATCCAGTGGATACCAATCTTGTGAATGATCTCCTTGTTGTGGACGCCCATCTCTTGACTGACTATCATATGAACGCCAATCTTGTGGAGGATCTCCCAGCTGTGGACGCCCATCTCTTGACTGACTATCATATGGACGCCAATCTTGTGGAGGATCTCCCAGCTGTGGACGGCCATCTCTTGACTGACTATCATGTGGACGCCAATCTTGTGGAGGATCTCCTTGTTGTGGACGGCCATCTCTTGACTGATTATCATATGGACGCCAATCTTGTGGAGGATCTCCTTGCAGTGGACGTCTATCTCTTGACCTATCATGTGGATGATTTTGTTGTGGCCTATGTTGTTGATGTCTAGATTGACTGTAATAATCTGCACTTGTGTAAGGCTGCTGATAGGATATGTCTGAATTATCTAGAAAAAGCATTATCATTGTTAATTTAAGAAATAACAATTCTGTTCGATAAGTATACAAAGATAATTACTGCTGATTATCACACTTTTATTTTTGTAGTTTAATAGAAAGATCTACTCTTGACTAATTTAACACACTGAAACTTCCAATGTCTAGTCTCTCAGAAACTCAATACATTGCTTGAATGATAACATATTTTTATAATAAAGGTCTAAGCACAAGACTGAGTCTACAAGTCATAGTTTTAAAAGCTCCTTAGATTTTTGGTTTATAGTTCAAAACAGAAGACAGTGAGCAACGTAACGTAACCAAGAATGAACTGGGACGGACTTATCGAATTAGTCTAGTTAAAGCACTAGATCTAATAATATTCTAAAACTACAGTACTAAAACTAAGTACAGTGCATAAAATAGAAATGTTAGATACCTGGTCTTAAATGGGTTTCTTCATTGTAATAAGACCTTCCATGACCATTACCTGGCGACGCAGGCCCATTATGCCTAATAGGTGACCCCATAAATGGATGACGTGGGTGATAATTCCTGGTATTCCCATACATCATATCAAATGATTGATTTAATCCATTTCTAGAGTCAAATGGACCATTGTGTGCAGGGTTATATGGTGTAGAAAACCTCATGTAGTCATTACGAGGTGCAAAGTGACCGTGAGGTGTTCTCATGGAGGATATCTGTCCAAAATTATAAAAATCCAGACTGGATTCCCTGTGGTAAGAATCCCAGTCTAATGTTTTAACTCTCCCTGTTCCATGTGGGATTGAGGTTTGATTGTAAGTATCGTGTGCATGCTGTGTAGTGTCTTGACTGTCATACAAAGATGATGCCATAAATGTTTCTTGATTTTGCTCTGTATAAAGTGGGGAGCCAAATCTTACATTGTTGGACCTTAATTCCTCATGTGGTTGTGATTCCTATGATAAAATAAGGGAAATAAGAGTCCAGTGTTTTAATATCTTTACGATAATTAAGTCAAGACTTAGGCAGATATTCAGCTCAATATCATTGGTTAATCTTTTTAAATGTTAAAAAGACTGATGGAGTAGAAGTAGAAAAGTGTAAAACCATTGCGCTTATTATGGGAGTAGATCTGGATTGAGCAGGGAAAGGGTTTATTGCACATTGTATATACATTGTTTTGTTCAGGGCAATTTGTACCTACTGTATCCAACCCCTGGAGTAATATTTAGGGATATAGTTACATTGTGCAGTATATACCAACCTGTAAATTTGTTTTGTCTCTGTCAAGCTGCAATCTTTGCTTGTGTCGTTTAAGTTCATCTAACCACCTTGGATACATACTGTTAATATAGCATTCATATCTATCCTATAAACAAAAGACATCTTATTAAATGAATGTTTCATTATATCATGAATGAATAATACTAGTATGATCAAGATCGAGAAAAGGATAGACGTCAACATGGAAAAAAAGAAATTGGAAATTGGGATAGAGTATACAAATTTCACAAAACTTACTTTTAATTGTTTCAGTTTCTCAGTTTGTGCTTCCAAAGCAGCAGACTGTTGTTCTATTCTATCGAAGTCATCCAAGAGAGCTTTATTTCTTGTCTTACTTGAATTCTCCTGACTGCATAACTCCTTCCAGTACATTTCTATTCTTTTGTCACTCATCCTGCCCCTAATGCAGATATACGAGAATATACGCATAACAAAATAGCAATTATTGCTCTTTTAATTTAAGCGTAAGTAAGTTATGCATTTCGATGAAGTCACTATAAAAAGTTATAAATTTGATTTTGAACTGGACTTTCGGCAAGGCGGAGGATAAGAATAAGAAAGTAAGATACATTAAAGCAATCATAGTTCTCATTCATTTAGTACGCAAGAAAACACCTGCAAACATATTAACAACTTTATAGACATTTGTCGTCTTGGCCACCGGGAGGCGTCATCGTGTGGTAGCATATAAACAAACCAAACCATAAGGTCAAAATCTAATTTTTAACTATTATAGAAACAAGAAAAAAAACTTGAGTTTTTCATAAATGTTTTCTCTATAATTGATTTACAATACCTCGAAAAAGTAGGTTCTTTTTCCTTGTAATTATGTAAGGAGCCAGAAATTCCGAATCTTTCCGCCATTTTTTAACTTCAAAAATATTTTTTGCCATATATGGCAAAGCAGTTCGTAGCCAGTCCCTCACGTCCATTGAATGAGGCACAGGCAGCCCAAGTTGAATACTTGGGCAGAGCGCATCTCTTGTGATGCGCATATTTATCTAGAAAAGAGAGAGCTACAATGAAAAAAATTCTAAATATTGGAGGATAATATCTTTATGGTCAATTCACAGAGAGGACGCAGAGAGCTGGAGTTAACCAAAGACTTACTTGAGAAGTTTGTAAAGGATGCATGAAGCCAGACAAGTCAGCCATATTGGCGGAAGTGCTGGACATGCATCACAACCAAGCCTTTTATGCAAAGGCTGTTGTTTTGGTGGTGGATCATCATTATCATTTGATAGAAATTGATTATCTTTATCGTTTTGTTGGATTGGTAACAGATGTTGATTGATTGGTGGCACAAGAAATTCTGGCTGATGTTCATCATCATTTGTTGGAACCAAAGGTTTGCTGTTCTTTTTGGGCCAAGTCAGCAACACTGGTGGTATTGATGGCAGCTGACGCTCATCAGTATTTGATGGCAGTAAAGGTTTGTTTTCCTTCTCAGGCCAAGTCAGCATCAGTGTTGGGCTTGATGGAAGCTGTTCACCAGCATTTGATGGCAGTAAAGGTTTCTTGTCCTTCTCAGGCCAAGTCAGCATCAATGATGGACTTGATAGAAGCTGTTCACCAGCATTTAATGGCAGCAAAGGCTTGTTTCCCTTCTCAGGCCAAGTCAGCATCAGTAATGGGCTTGGTGGAAGCTGTTCACCAGCATTTGATGGCAGCAAAGGCTTGTTTTCCTTCTCAGGCCCAGTCAGCATCAGTGTTGGGCTTGATGGAAGCTGTTCACCAGCATTTGATGGCAGTAAAGGTTTGCTGCTCTTCTCAGGCCCAGTCAGCATCAGTAATGGGCTTAATGGAAGACATTCACCAGCATTTGATGGCAGCAAAGGTTTGTTTTCCTTCTCACGCCAAGTCAGCATCAGCGCTGGGCTTGATGGTTCACCAGCATTTGATGGCAGTAAAGCATTGTCGCTGATATCTTCATCCCCAGTTAGCATCAATAGCTGTTGGGTTGATGAGAGTTGCCCATCAGTTGATGAAAACAGACGCAGATCTGGTATATTATTTTTATGGCAGGGGAGGGGTGCTGGTCTCTCCCAAGGAGGGTTCAAGAAAAATGGTAGCCCACACCCCCTTGCATAGATTTCTTTCTAGTTTTGCTGTCAACTTCAGAACTGATAATGCTAGTTAACTTTGGTATTCTGATCTTCAAACAAGACCACTATTAATTTTATTGATATCATTCTCAGTTAGGAATCCTTCACAAAGTTTGAAAGGTTAGATACCTGTGATAATATTATCCCAAGTACAAATAAGATATACTTATCATAATTGCAAAAGCTTGTATTGCTGATCAATTAAGATTTATTGAAAGGGCATGGTGACATTTCAAGAAAAGGATGGGAATATGAAGGTGACTCAAGCTGGGTTATCCAAGTTTAATTAAATTCTATTTAATGATACCTACCTTGCATTTTGGTGAATCTTTCAGAAGGTGAGCTGATGGCCGCAAAAGGATACACTTTTTTGAGACAAGTTTCTCATATTTTGCAAAAAATAATGGGAAAATGACTTCCATTTTTTTGACGTATGTGCATCCTAAATTCGTTATTCCACAGACTTTTGTGACACCATTATCGCTTGGTTCAAGAGATGCTCCACCCAGGAGCATGCCATATCCATCAGGCAGGAAACCAACCACCAGCATACTTATTTTTTGGCCTTCTCTTCTTGTCACAGTGTAAATGTTTGTGGTTTTTGCTTTTCTTGACATTTTACTGAGTAATGAACCAATGGGAATTAGATAAAAACTACGCAGAATTTTCTTTGTCAATTATTTTCATAAAGAATGATCTCTTACCAATAATGATGTGCCAGCAGAAGCAACGCTCGCAGGATAAGACAGCAAAACATGAAAAGCACAAGGACTGTGAAGTAAACACCAAGTTATTGAATGTATAAATCTTTCCAAAACGTTATTTGCGCACAAATCTTAAACGATACCTGCAAATATCGACGCGTGCGAAAATACCATACGAAATGATTTGTCTAGTCCTGTTTTATTTTGTTTCGTTTATTTCTTTTCCACGCCGCGCGATTATATCTTGTCCTTTTTTTCGCTGCGTGCCTAGATCCTATGGTTATTTTAACCGCGCGCTTTATAGATCTGATTCATTTTTGCCGCGCACAGTGAACAGTCTTCTACTAACTCTGCCACGAAATTACGCGCGACTTAAAGAAAAGAAAATCTATAGTGCCTTTCGCTTTTCGCCAAATAGCGAGTGTGGCCGTCTTTCTTTCAACTCTTGGTTCGTTTGATAAACACGTTAATATATATTCGTGCGCGAGCCTCGGGAATCCCGCGGGAATATATCGAAGAAAAGCCTTTTTTTTTTCTGTACTCACCAATCTCGACATCGTAACGACCTTTGACTGGTTTAACAAGATTATTAGTCAATAAATTCATTTCTTCAATAAAAAAATCCATTTTGTACACGTGCCTGAACAGAGTTCAGGAAAGTAACACTGCTCAATATAGAGCTGTAATTACAATTGTTACGTCGCACATTGACGAGTTAATTAGGCGTAATTAGAGCGCGCCAAAAGCATTGCAGGCGCACATATCAAAGCGAGGTATTTTATAGTGTTCGACTGGGCTTATGTGTAAATACATTTTTTTGACGAACGACCAAGCGAACAATTAAAAGCTAATGAGTCTACGACCGAAAACATACAGAAATGCTAGAGGTGTATCAACCATGTTCATCTCTTTTCAGCTTTGCCTTCTCAATGAAAACAACAGGGATCCCACATACATAGCAAAGTCACATACGAGGAATTTTTAGTCTTTATTATGCCTTGATTAATCTCAAGTTTAAGGGTACATTTTTCATAGCTATTTCATATTTTACATAACATTTATCTCTATACATATTTTGTCTCAATTTGTATAAAACACTTTCATGTTTATATCATTTTTAAAATTAAAATCTAAAATGTGTACAGTTTTTCTGTAGGATGGAATAATGTCCTAAGCGGACAGTCGTCGGAGTCATGTTCAATAATTGATCTGTAAATCGATAATTTATCGGAGCAGTCCATTCGGTCGATATTAATTTAATGATCTTCCTCGGGAGAGCATCCCCTGTGTACTACCACTGGAACTCGTCCACTCTTGGCTTCCATCCTTGCAAGAACGTTAGCAGGAACAGCTTCCCATACTAACATTGAACACTTGAACAAGGCTCGCCTAGCAGCGTCAACTGCATCACCGTCCACATAAAATATACTGTCTGATTTATTCCTGGAGGCCGACGAACTCTTTCTCCGGGACTTGTAACGAGATTGCTCCGCTTGGAATTTGGTTGACAGGTCATCAGGCACTTGGCGCACGCGCTCAGAGGTCAAAGGACATACCACTGGATCTCGCGTTCCCAGGCCATCCGCACGCAGACTTTTACCAGTACTAAATACCAAGCACAGTTCAGTGCCACAAGGACCTGGACCAATGCACGTTGATAGTGTTCTTACTTCACCAAACGGGTGAAACCAGGTCAGAAGCTTTGGCTCGTCTGCTCTGAAGATAAGAATGTGTCCACCAGCCGTTCCTGCCCACATGGTATCCAACACTGGACTAATACAAAGAATACACGAATCACTCTCGTGTAGCTTTCTACTGTGATCAATGGATTGGATTATTGGTAAACAGTCAATCTCGAAGATTATTTGTCTTTGAGCTGCACACCATTTTGTTAGGACAGACCTAAAATACATGAAAGGAAGTCAATATTTTGACCATTATATAGGGCAAGATCGCACATACAAGTATATATAACGATTATAGAAAGGTTTATCCTTCTTTTCCGAGCACATTATATATTATCTTTATCCTGAGATAAATCGCTATCATTGTTCAGATCATTCCTTGTATAGGCATTACTATAAATTTCACACAACCTAATCAACATTATTTACAGGTGTGGATTCAGGATTTTGACAGGGGGATCACCAGTAAGGAATTACATGCTACTCTAATAAAGTATGGTAGTAAAGTGCACCTATGACTAGGAAATCACTTCCCCCTCTAAATCCATTTACCTGCATGTGCTCCACACGTGTTGTTGATCAAAGATTGTTAGATTGGTAATCCTTGTTTGGTGTTTGTCTTCCATGCCAGTAGAACCTCCATACCACAACGATTCCATGTCAAAAGCCTCCATTTCAGCAGTCTTGGTAAAGTAAGTAAATATATACTTACTAGACGACACCCACAGCTTCTCTTCCGTGGCAACCAGCGACAGGATGCAGTGTCGTTCCACGTTGATCAAATGGTCGTTTCTCTTCTTTTCTGGCTTCTTGAAATCTTTCTTCAAAATGCAACGTACACGACCCTCATTCATTCCAACATATATATACGAATCATCTGACGTCATACATGTAGCTTGTTCGTCTAACGGAACGGAGCACACGTTATTGTAACGAGGTGAAGTCGAGTATGCCGATATGAAATGGACGGGTCCTCTAACTGCAATCAGCATTAGCTCGGCTACATGGTGAAGGGCTTGGATTTGAAGGGTATACTTGTGTTCGTGGTAGCTTTCTATTGCAAATGTATGCTTCAAATCGAGGTTATTGCAATCGAAGATGAAAATCTTATTGGATGATGGATCATCACATGCAATCCACAATTCCTTCCTTTCTGGAACCAGACAAGCATGACGCACAGACTGCTGGGAAGGGATATATTGCTTACCAAGGAGAGCTTGAAAGGCAGGCATTCGAACCTGCTGGGCAATTTGCACCGAATTGGGTCTTAGCGTTGGTTTGCTTAGCCAGCACTGAAGCATTAATTCAGACAGGGATGGAAGACCGTAGCGTGACAGGTGACATTTACTCCACTTCGGTCTTTCTCCTCGCACAACTGCTGCATTTATCATTGGCTCTGAGTCAAACTCTAAAAACGGCCGCTCACGAACAACCATTTGGAATAACAGGACAGCATAGGAATAAACATCAACTTTCATAGTGTACTCTTCTTTCTTTTCTGATAATTGTAGCATTTCTGGGGCTTTGGTTCCAAGCGTCCCTTTGACTGATATTAAGCCGGTAGACGTAGCAAAGTTGGCCGTTCCAAAGTCAATCAACTTGACATGAAGGTCATCTCTTTCATCAAGCGACCAGACCAAAATGTTCTCTGGCTTCAAATCTCGGTAAATGATATTCAAAGTATGAAGATACGACAAAGCATCAGCAACTTGGTATGCAATGCGGAATAAAACAATTCGGTTAATAGCCATCGAACTGTACAACGAGTCTTGGAGATTTCCTTTTTCCGCTAGTTCTAGGACCAAACACAGTGGTCGCAGGCACACCCCAATGATGCTGATAAGGTAAGGATGCTGCCTTACACGACGAAGGACGTTCAATTCCTTTCTAGCTTCGAAATAGTGTTTCACAGGATCGGTTTCATCGTTTTGAACAAAGAATTTGATTGCAACTTGCTGATTACGGCACTTTCCTCGGACCACTTTTCCAAATCCTCCTGATCCAATCTGACTAGATTCACCTTCATCAAATTGAATTTCGTCTTTGGAAAGCAAAAGTTGAGGATCGACATCTTGCAGCATCACATCCGGAGCTACTAAGTGTAGACTAAGATCCGTTCCACTATGATTAGGACAAGGAATATTGTCTGCTTGAGCGCTTTGCAATTGACATTCCACAAACGAAAAACGATGGGGTTTGATGCCGTGTCGTTCACATAAGACACAAGGAATGTACTGCCTAACGCGTGGCCCAATACCATCACTTAACGACAGATCAGGGTACCACTCTTTAATGAGAGTGTCTATATGATCAACTATATAGTTCAGAACTCTTCTTCCAACACGACTTGGAGTAACCTCGGTGACTATAAGCACACGGTCTTCAGATGGGTCCTTCATGGTGGATATCGAAAAAAACAATCGTTCGTGATTAAGACATATTCCAGTTCGCCAGCAGAACAATGAACCACCATCAATTAAACTGCTAAGATCAGTTGGAATGTCTGATAGATTACTAAAAACGAAATCTTTTCGAGCTCGACAGTTGGCTTCGTGAGTTGGTTCTTGAATCAAGGCTTGTCTTCCAAGATGAACGTCTTCTGGGACAACTGTTGTTGGTGTTCGATCCTTCACAGCTGGTTTTTCCTTGTTATTTGAAGATTCGTCTCTTTCTAATAGAGTGTCACGACTTGGGACATAGTCTTCAGGCTCATTGAAAGAAGCAGTATCTAATTCCCGAGAATTCAACGAAACTTCTATTTTACTTTCTTTCTTGGATGAAGAATGTGTAGATGTGTCATCAACAGATTTCTGTAGGAAGTCATCAGGTTGAAGTGAGTCCTCACTTTTCTTTTCGTGATCATTGATCTTGAGGTATTGTTCTATCGTAGGAAGTAGTTTACAAGAGTCTTCTGAGACTCTCCTCGTGCTTTGATTACATGATAAATACATATCAGATTCAATTTCGATTTCGCAGCTACTTTTCTGAGTTTCCTCTACTACCACCGACTGATCGAGAGGTTGTTGGTTGATMACTTGAATCTGATTTTCATACTGTGCTTTTTTACTGCTACTTGAAGGTTTTCCTTGAAATTCAGAACTTATTGAGTGGCTTCCGACACTTTCGGATGATTCAGCTGACAAATTTCTTTCGAATACCAGGTTAGCTTTCAAGGGGGAGTTAGATGATGCATCAAGATTTGAGTGTGAACTTGAATGGCTGGAACCGCTGCCTTCAGAAGAGCGACTATAAGCTGTTTCGTTCCACAAGCCGCTTCTATTTGATAAAGAACTGGAATTATACTTCTTTTCGCCATTAAGTATTTCTGGCGATTGTTGGTTTAAAGATGATGATTGAGATGAGCTGATTGAGTTTTCTTTTGTGGAATGATCCTCAAAGCTTTCTGGCGAGACGCTAAAGGGCGCGGAACTTGTTCTCGACTTCGAGTTTCTTTTTCTTTCTTGTGGTTTTCTCTTATAATTCACTTCTCTTCCACGAACGAAGCGAGGGCGGTACAATCCATCCTTTAAACCAAGCCCCAACGCTTGCTCCCCGTCTTCATCAGTGCTGTAGCCGAAATCTGAATCACCTGACGACCCTTCCTGTCCAAACCACTGTCCATTGATGCGAACACCGTCATGTACATCGACCTCGTCTTCATCCACATATCGCCCAACATTCACATAACGAAATTCATCTTCTTCATTGTCTTCTTCGTCGTCAACATCAATATCTTCATTGAGGTAAGAAGCCTCCTCAGTTGGAGGTGAATTTTCATTGGGTGAATAACTCACTGCTTGGTCACCTTGCTCTGCAGAGAATTTGGAAGAGCTTTCATTGGACTTCGATTCAACATCAGAATCTTGCAAGCCAATGGCAACACTGTTAGAGCTTAAAGGACACTTGCAGCAGAAAGGATCAAGGAGGAATGGACTTAAATGGTCAATTTCGGGACCGCCTGGACTGTTGGGCCCTCTTTCATTGGAGCACCCAGATGACAGCATATCTTCTGTATAGTACAATAATCTAGCCATAAATCTGTCCCAAAAACCATATGGCATGAAAGGAAGAGAATGAATTCTCTTGATGGTAATGAATGGTAGTGATAGGTTAGTCGCTTCTGATGGCTTCTCTTCTGGCAACTTTGAAGGAACAAGAAGTCTGTTCTCATCAAGCGAACAAGCGATCTGAAAGCGGTTTAGCAGACGAACAAATTGTGCATAGTATTTAAGAGGAAAACGTTCATCTTTGAAAATGAACTCAAATTTGTCTTTGAAGAGTATTCCGTTGATGCCGTAAGGATTGGCTTCCTTTAGGGTAACTATACGAGCCATCAGATCACACAACCAAGATGGATCAATGAAGTAGTAGTCTTGTAAATCTTGGTTTGGATCGTCGTAATGCATCACTATACCTAACACAAGAACAAGTTTTGTTTAGATACATTACTGGGGAGCTTAATTATGATAAAGTAGTGTTTTTCAGGTTGATAAAAAACCATCGTGAGATGATCTTGTGAGGACATTCTTTGATGAAAGCTTAGGTATTGATTGTCGATTTATACTAATATCACGAATAATAAACATGGAATCCCTGTAAGTAGTTTGCTATTCAAGAACATCAAATACGTACCTCTTTCGTGTAAGAATTTTGTGACATCTCTGACGTCATTAGGATCCTCAACATCTGACCCATCATGTTTTATGGTATCCGTGACTAATGCCTCGTACTCTGCTCGGCGAATAAAAGGAAGTTCGTTGGCTTTTTTGTAGTTGTCCCTTATTGTCTTCATGAGTTCTTCAATAAGCAGATAACTGTGAGGAATCAGCTCTCCCATCACTGACACCTATAAGGGAAAAAAGCCAAACGTTTAGGCAATCAAATGAGACTCCAAGAAAACCTCCAATAGTTTTATAATTCAATTTACCTCGCTTGTCCCATTGACTTTGAGCATCGCGGAAGCTGCATCATAAATAGCAATGCGCAATTCGTCGATACCTGAGGAAAAGAGTCATTCATTAATAAACAACGCTCAAACCAAGGGAGCACGGCAACGAAAATACAGGAAGAAAATATATATTGCCTCAAACTAACCAAGAGCAAGAGATAAAAATTCATTGAAAACGGGGATCGATGAGGGAGAAGAATGGAAATGGAAGAAGGGATGAAAAGATGATAGACGTGGAAATTAAGGTTGAAGTGTGAACTCCTGGAAGAGAGCAAGTGAGTAAAGACATGAAAATTGAGAAAGATGATCTTAAAGAGACTAAAAGAAGAGGCAGTAAAATGACCTCCAGAAAAACAATTTCTATTACCTTCTCGTGAATCTATTGCACAGCTGACTTCTTTGATACCAATCACAAAAATACGTTGATATTTATCCTGTGATTTCAACTTCTCTGCATAATCATGCATTCTTGTCAGGTAGTTTTCATCATACTTATCCTTGTCCTTTCTGATCTTATCCACGTGTGTTCCAACAATTATCAAGCATGTTCCAGGGGCACGCGATGAGATCGTGTCTAGCCACCCTTCCAGTTTGGCCACACCCTCTTCTCCTTCTTCTAAGTTCCAAACTAAAATGTACAAGGATAACGTGGAGAGAAAACATTGATGTGTAGCGTAATAATCCTCCTGGCCACCAAAATCCCACATTCTGAACAGATATTCCTTGTGGAAGACGTCTTTTCTGATTCTAAACTCTTCCATGGATATACCTGGAAGATAACACAAAATCTCTATCATGTGCTGCCATGGCAAGAAAAGCAGTAAGACACTTTCATGTCCCTCTTGTAATACATTTCCACTTGAAAAACTTGCCCAAATTAAATTCTCAATGCGGGAAGGGCAAACAAGTATGAATTAGCAGCAAAAATATTGAAAAGGCTTTCATATGCCTGAAAGTTTTGTGATGACTTTCTTCTTGGTCATCTTTAGTTACTACTGTATAATCTAATACAAGGCAAATGATGTTATACGACATCTTACCATTAGTAGCGCTGTTTAGGTTGTAAGTGTAATCATACATCAGCCTATGCATTAAGGTAGTCTTGCCCTGTGCTGCTCGGCCAACAAGCATCAGTTTCATGGAGTAGTACCCTTTCGCATTGCGTAATTTTGCTCGGAGGTACATGATGGTTTTGGCTCCACTCTTTTTAATGTTTTCTGGTGGGTCTGTCACCTAAAAAGGCAATTCAAAATACAAATTTAGTTATATAAAGTTGTCCTATGGACATTTTGAACATATTGGATAGTGAGCAGTTACTTGACTAGAAAACGTGTTGAGGCATCTTTGTGTATCTCAAGCTTCATTCAAAACATACTTCTGATTCTGAACAATGACAGCAAATACACAAACACCATACCTGATCAAGGTTATCTAAATTCAGTGTTGATATATTGGTCAACTTTCCCATCTGTACAGGTAGTTGAGTTAGTCTGCTATTACCAGATAAGTCCAAAGTCTCTAGAGTGAGAACCTCACAAACATGTGGTGGCACTTCATACAACATATTTCTAGCAATATACAGATTTTTCAGCTTTGATCCAGTGATGTTCCTTGGCAGATCTTCAAGTTGGTTATCATTGACATATAGTGTTGTCAAAGATGGAGACCAGTGACTTTTCTTTGGAAGTTCTGTCAGCTTGTTTTTGGATAAATTTAGAATCCTTAAACAATTCATTTTCAGTAAACCACTTGGAATTCTTTCAAGTTGGTTGTTTTCTAAGTTAAGGCGGCAAAGTTTATGCAGGTCAACTATATCTCTGGGAACAGAAGTCAACATATTGTGTGATAACTGCAACCTTTCCACCCATCTAATGCTTCTGAAAATTGATGGATCAAGTTCACGAAGAGCCAACTTTTTCCATTCTATTTCCCGCCTTTCTTGGTCACAGTTGGTTCCTAGTAGAAGGGCTTTAGTAGCTTCTTTATGTTTGTTGTGAAGCGAGAGCTGTAGGGGGACTGCAACACGGAGTAATTCTTTATCTTTCAAACATGTCCTTCAATGAAATAAACATAGTTTAAAGATTATAGGTGCCATGTAAAATAGGAATAAAGCTCTGATAATGCGATTGTCCCTTTGCCTGCTAGTGTGTTGGCTTGTCAGCAATTGTGGTTTGCCTGAGCATCACACCCTGCCAGAGTGGTTTGTGGCAAGGATTGCTTTGTTATTAAATTAGTGGATTAAAAATAAATTGTTAATTATTAGTCTCAAGTCAAATGGTTGGTCTGTTGTGAAATATATCTCAGTTTCTAAGAACTAATCAAACAAAATACCATAATGGCATGATTTTAATGCCCATGACATTAATCATACCTTATGTTCACAATATGACTGTGGCAATTTTTAGAAAATGGAAGCTGTTTCAAAGCAATGTCCTTTTGCTCCTGTTTCTGGTGACCATCCAACAAATATTGTAACATCTCCACATGTCCATTCTGTGCAGCATAACAAACAAGCAGCACAGATAATGCCTGAAGAAAACAAATTATACAATTATTGTTATGATTGCATGGGAGAGCAGTGAATAAATCTTGGGTTAAACATTTGTAGGTACTAGATCTACATTCAAGCATGTAAAAATGTAGAAAGCTACTGTACACATATATAATTTACACATTTAAGACATTTTCACCTTACCTTAATGAAATTAAACTGCAAAGACATGACAATACAGTCATCAAACTTTAAAGACTCTTTGACACCAGCCAAGATGATAGACTGCATGGCATCTACATGGCCCTTTTCAGAAGCTCTCTCTAAAGCCTCTTGCAAACATGTTGGGGAAATACTGTCTTTTTTCAATGATCTTAAGATTTCGGTCAGCTGAGGGCTGTTTTCTTGAGCAAGTTTTAAAATTTCTACAAAAAAAAACATCACCAGTTCACGACTACAGCAGCCAATAGAGAATAGTGAAAATATGTGTGGAAGCCTTTTGTGCCACGAGGCATGAAGATGTTGGATAAATAGAAAAGATACTGGCACCAAATCTAAATTCATTCTCACATTCAGACTTAGTATACTCCCTCCCGTAATCAACGATAAATCCTTCGTTATATGGGTCAGGATAAAATGGTCATGTGCAGGAGAGATGACACAGGGATGCCCTTGAACTCAAATCATTCATAAAAGGTTTATTTTTTCTTTGATATAATAAACATTCATACAATTACATACCAGCACTTTTCAATATCCTTGCTGTGTTTTTACACTTGTGAATCACTGCAGTTTCATAAGGAGTCTTCCCAAACTCATCGCGACAGGTTATGTCAGCTTTGTATTTGAGTAATTCCTTAACGCAATCCTCGTTATCCATTGATGCTGCCATATGCAGACACGTGTAAAAGCCATTTGCAGTTGCATTTGGATTGGCTCCATATAGCAATAGGAGTCTCACAATTGGAACATGTCCTCTGTGTGTAGCTTCATGAAGAGGGGTATAACCAAGAAAACCGACACGTTCTTCTAACTGGTTTGCAAAGCTCAATGAATCCTTGAGGAACTTGCTGATCTCATTAACGGCGCCTCTGCCACAAAGGGCATGGAGAGTACCGGTGTTGTTGGAGTTTTTACTTAGACTCATTGCTCTGGAATGTTAGAATTTTTTGTTCACAATCAATATGACTAAAAAGAAATTTTGATATTTAACAAAATGAATTCAGCTTTGTTGTCTAGATGTAATTGATGTTTTATAAGTCAATACTGTAGGTATAGTTCTCATTAATCTTTCAACATTTGTAAAATAGCTACTTATTTGACTCTTGAATTTAAAATGAGGACTATTACTTTGTGAGTACAAAATAAATGCACAAGGAAATATTTGAAATAATTCATGAAATTTGTGTCTGACGCTCAACTTCTTTATTGATAGGTTTGCCTAGCATGTAAGATCAATAATACTCCAACAGCCCCACAGCATGAACGAATGTACAGTGCAGTACATGAATAAAAGAAATTAAATTATTCTAAGGTCATAGCATTCTTTTTGCTTGCTACATCATTTAATTTCTAGAGATAGCTATCTGCTAATATCAATAGTGTCGATGTGAAAGGAAAATGGAAAACAACCTGAAAGAAATAGCTGAGAGATATTTTGATTGGATGGAAATAAGCAAAACTAAAATAATCAAACATTTCAAACTCTCCTGATGGTTTACTCAATAACATCATTAAGAAACGATTCCTAATTTATTTGATTGCATAAAAATCTTGTGTACTTTACTTTCAGGTCATCGTTTCATGTTATTACATGTAAGATTAACTCTGAAGAAAAATGACCTTCAATCGAGCAACGTAGCAACACTCAACTGAATTGGTATCGATTGTGTAAGGTTACAAAAACAATGTTGAAATCACTATTTTTGTAGATATGGTGTACAAAAATGAAAGAAATATAGATAAAAAGACCTGTAAAGCTCATCGACCCTTATAAATACTAAGAATATATGCAAGATTTCTCTTACCAAAGCAAGCACGCTCAAATCACTTTGCATGATGGCTGTCTGTACGTCATGTACGTCAAGAAATCAAAATTACACTCCTTCCTTGTACACGTTTGACTCTTTTCATCCCTTACTCATAGTTTCACTCAAGCTGTAGGAGATCTACCAAATACTTCTTCGCAATTTCCACAATTAAAAGATAAAAAGGCCTCTCATGAGATGATTTTAAGTGCAGCTAATATAGTCTTTTCCATGAAAACCGGATACTCACTTGAAGTGCATGCCGGAGAGAGAACAAAACTACCGTGTGGGGGAGGGTATGGCAATATCATATTTATTCCTATTCTTACTTCTATGTTTTCACAAGTTAGATAAAACTGAAAAACATCAATAATAATTGATTACAAGTTGACTTAAATTGCGCATATTGCTTGTCTATAAAGACCACAGAGCATCAAATATCACAGGTCATGAATATATGGTATTTCCCCTCCCCCCAGAGGATTTGTGATCACGTGAAATTCCCGAAACCGGAAGTTTCTTGCAATAATACGGGCTTTCCCCGAATATATAAATCCCCAGAATTAACTTTTGCAGACTTCTTGCCAGTAAGGTCAATCGTACGTGTAGAACTGTGATGGCTGTCAATAGAGTGATCTTTACAATTCTATTTTGCGTTGTCCATCTTTCACTCGAGAAAGAGTTCACGAACGAAGCAGAACCATGCTCATCAAGTAAATGCAAACCTCCGAACTGTAGATGTAGCGACAACATATCTCCTCCTGGCGGACTAGATGCAAAGGCAACCCCACAGATCATCATGATCACATTTGATGATGACCTGAACACGATAAATCACGCTCAGTACATGGAGGCCTTTGGTGAACTAACTAATCCCAATGGTTGCCCTGCAGTGGGTACATTCTTTATCTGCCATAACTACACAAGTTACTTCTTGGCCGAGTCGATGTATTCCATGGGTCACGAGTTGGCAGATCATACTGTTACCCATCAGACACCTGATGAGTATTGGCTTCATGCTTCGTACGATGAATGGAAAAATGAAATCAACGGAGAAAGAGAAATTTTGCACAAGTGAGTGTGAATTTTACTGCCTGAAAATTTTTCATACCGGAACTTTGTGCCATGGACGCGTTGGGGCATAACCGCGTTCTAGGCGTGGCACCTCAGTGTGGTGAACCGCGTGATAAAGTGTTTGTTTCAGAGAAAAAGAGGAAATAAAATCTCATTTACTTTTATTATGTTGCTATTCTTAGTTGTGTTGAATGTTGATCACGCGATTTCCGACACAACAAGTGATAAACGTCTGCAAAGTGAGGATGCTGTTGCCTGAAGACTTTATCATTGTTGGATCCGTGGTTTGAGTATAACTAAGATACTGAATAGGTTCACACAGTCACTTGTTTAATACATATCCAAAAGCACATGTAGTGAAATTACACGCATGATTGCACATAGATAATTACGTAATCATCCGGGATATTACATTTCTCCCTTGTTTTAAAAGAATCAATGTTCATATCTAATAGTTCTTAAAATCATCAAATGTCCCTTTTCTGGTATGCATANGTTCGGTTTCATGTTTAGGAATTTATATCTAGCATGATGCTTGTTACGTTTTGGCAGAAAATGCTCATTTAATTTAGCTTTTAATTTGCCGTATTCGTCCATACCTTCTGTGGTTGGATTTGGTAGACTTTTCTCTAGACGTGCTATCTCTTTGCCGCCATAGATAATCAATGCATCTTTCTTGTCGACACTATTGGTTATCTTGAAGTATCTGAATTCACGTTCTATTCCTTCCAGCCATTCCTCCCATCGGTTACCTGTTGCTATCTGGTCCTCTCCTATTGCGAACGGGTTTGCTTTGAGATTCCTGGTGATCACTGTTATGTGTTGAGGATTGACCGCCGCTTGATCAATGTTTTCGTCTGGCATGTCGATTCACTGTATTGTCGAGACTTCCGCTTTTCCTGACTTTCCTTACTCACTAAGCTGGGAGGAGTTGTCAGTAGTTTGATTCGTGGGTTTTCCTACCCCTCGTCGCCAATGTTGGATCCGTGGTTTGAGTATAACTAAGATACTGAATAGGTTCACACAGTCACTTGTTTAATACATATCCAAAAGCACATGTAGTGAAATTACACGCATGATTGCACATAGATAATTACGTAATCATCCGGGATATTACAATCATTATCAGTATAGTTCTACTATGTTATCAGTCATAAAGTAGTGAAATGCAAGCAAATCTAGATGTATATAGGACATCGATAAATGCAATATTGACGCGATTCTAATGATGAGTGTAAATTGAATTCTTTTTTAGGTTTGCTGGTGTCAACGTTACTTCTGTGTCTGGCTTTCGAGCACCATTCCTTGAGATTGCAGAAAACATGTATAAAGCGCTCCATCTTAACGGATTCACGTATGATCTTTCTTGGCCTACTGGAAAATACTACAATCCACCCATGTATCCCTACACTCTAGACTACAAGTCGACCCAGGACTGTCCTGTTGGTCAGTGTCCAGTTATGTCATATCCTGGTCTTTGGGTAGTCCCAAATATTGACCTTATGAATGCTGATGGCTCGGTCTGCGGCTCTATGATGGATGCATRCGCACCAACAGGCAACGCAAGTGTATGGCTTGAAATCCTTACAAGGAATTTTAACTACCACTACAACGGAAACCGCGCACCATTCGGAATGCATGCTCACTCAGCCTGGTTCTCACAAGCCGCAGGTCATATGGAAGCAATGAAGAAGTTCTTGGCTCAAGTAACCGAAGGAAAGGACGATGTATGGATACTAACAGTGTCTCAAGTTATTCAATGGATGAAAGATCCTAAAGATATTGAAGCAGCGAAGACTTTTGCACCCTGGGGCTGTCCTCCTCGACCAAAACCTAGATGTACACAACCCAACTCCTGTCATTATACCACACCCAAGGACTTTTACATGCCAACATGCACTGAATGTCCTAAACACTTTCCATCTCCTACTGACCCTGACGGAAACTAACAGCTAAGTTTTTGTCTTTACTAACATCAGTTGGAACCGAATTTGATAAAAAATAGTTCTTCGCAACGCAAATCAACTCACTTCCTAGTTAAGCTTGCTTTAACAGTATGCGCTCGCTCGAAACGTACTGAACACTTATTGTAGTATATGTAGGACAGGTAACAAATTTGACACTTCGTTGTCTGAAGTTTCTTTGCCTTACTGACGGTTCAAATAGGTTACATGTCGTACCGATTTGAAAAAGGAAAAGATAAAATAGACTTAGGAGCATACTAAATACAATAACATAAGTACACAAGATGTACTGGTGAAAGCTGTTTAATAACAAAAATAGTACAAAAATATGATATAAAACAAACGTATATGTGTCATAAAATTGATAAAACATTGAAGATATAAACATTCTCTTTTGTTATCTTTCTTACTAAAAAAAGTTTGATATATAATACATTTTTGAAACGCTTGGATAATAAATTACATAAAAGTCTCTCTGTATACATTTATATATGTCTACAATCTTTCGTACCGATATACTATCATTATTTGTGCAAAAAACGAGTTGTGCACTCTTTCTGACAATTTATATTGACGCATTAAAAGACATGGCCGACCCATATTGCATCAATTGTGTTCATAAATTCACTTTCAGCAAGTTACATATTTTGCAATTATCTGTACATTTAATAAAAACAATGTATATCTCTCTCGTTACTAAAATCGTAGTCTGTTTGCCTCTTCTACGATTCTGAGTCGTGGCCCAAGAGGGATACCAAGACTTTGAAGTCGTTCTTCGTTTAGATATGGAAGTTCAAGAATTCCTATCTGCTCTGCTCCAAATTTTGCCGCAAATCGCTGTATAAAGAATTAATTAAGATGAGTCGACCCTATACAAAGACCCCAGTTTGGCTAAAAAACTGGTTATAAGCGGTTTTGAAGCTAACTATGTAACAACAGAAGTGCTTACCTCATAGCCGAGCTTTTTTAAGAAGTTATCCAGTAAAGGAGGCTCACTGCCGAAGAATCTGTGAATAAAAGTGCAGGTTTCGTGTTAATATAATCATTTGAATCACTGGAGTTGTCATTAGCATCACTTTTTAATATCTGGTTGACTTACTTTCTTAGTTTATTCACCCTTTTCAAGTTCATGGCATAAAGATCTGATTGTTGTGCACCAGAAGCCTTGCTCATGTTCATGTCTTCCTGTAGAGTGCGCAATCGTTTGATTTCTTTTTTCAATTCATCCATGTCTTCGTTCACAGTTGCTTGTGATCGGAGTTCAGACGACAAATGCGCAACGCTTCTTGCTAATGTTACCACATGGGATTCTAGTCGACCAAATCGTTTGTTTACAGCTCTGAAAAAAATTGAAAATAGTCAAAAATAAAATCAAAACAGACTTCTTTAATAATCTGGGGAAAAAACATACTTGATGTCCTTTGATCTTTGCTTCCTAAATGCAATGATACCAGCTAAAAAGTACAGAATCATAGGTTAGATATATCAAAGATACTCCTTTTCAAGATGATTGAAGGGTATTCAACTTTCCCGACATAGACGACCAGCACAACATTTTTTCAAAACACTTCAGTTATTCTCCCACCTGATTCAGTGCCCGAAACGAAAAACCAGTAAATCTCCCCAACGCAGTAATGTATAATTAAGGAAAGTGTGACGAACCTTTCAATTCTTCGGTTTTTTGTTGGTTGACTACAGCATTCTTGTCGCTTGATTTCGATTTGCCTTCCTGCACGCCCTCATCCAGTAGACACAAAACGTCTGCATACATAGATTCAAGGGATTCGAGCTACGATTAAAGACAAACATCTCAATGAAAACATAAAATAACTAATGGAAACATAAGCCAAAATCAAAACTTCGACAATCAAAAAGTGAAATAGAAGAGGTCGATTCACATAGACACTGATAAACAGTTGAGTATTTATAGTCATCACTTATCGTTATAATAACAGTATATAATGTATTAGTATAAACATACTAATGGTCTATCACTCATACTGCGCTGTGATTGGCTACTCTACTAATGGTCTAATTTGTGATAGACCACTCGCGGGAAAATCAAAATAAATAAATAATAAATTATTTTAAGGATATTTCAATTTGTTTTCATTATTTGACCGATTAGTATGTTTATACTAAAACAATTAGACCTCTCGGCCTCGTGGACTACGAGCTAATAGCCCATTCGGCCTCGCGGACTCGGCCTCATGCGCTATTAGCTCGTAGTCCACTCGCGACCTCGAGGTCTAATTGTTAATTAGAACGTTTTTCAAGGTGATAAATACCAACCTGAGTCTTTATGGCATCTAAATCATTGGCACTTCTATTTTTCCCTAAGATGAGTATTAATGCAATGATATTTAGTAGTCTTTCTCAATAATCAAGTCTGATGGCAATATGTCCTCTTACCAGCCTTGCCGCGATTTCTGCGTTTGGGTGTTGATGCTTCGTCGTCAATCCTAGATGACCGATTGTCAACCTTAAGCTTGTTTGAATAGCTACGTACAGGCGTGGCCGTCCCTGAGGAATCAGAGGATAACGCAAAGGAGGCAATAGATGAACTGGGTGACAGGGCTGGTAACATGGGCGTGTCTGCAGGCGATATGGACGTTGATGAGGCTGTTGTATCTCTAGTGTCCACTTCATTAGCAAGTCTGCTTGCTACTTGACGGAGGAAGTCAGAATGTGATGATGAACGCCTATCAGACGGGCTTTGCTCGTTTAGTTTATCACTTCTTGTTCTTTGATTGCTTTGGCCAATAAAACCGGCTTGCTGAGTTTTTGGGAGTTCAGATGAGGATACTGTTGTTCTTGTGATGTGCATTGCGGGTCCTTTCGTGACAGACATCTTTCTTGATCTCTCGGCTGTGCCTCGGTCTGATGAGCCTGCTCGTGCGGTCTGCACCCGCCGAAGTGCAGGCGGGGTTGGTAGTTTTGTAATCCTTCTAAAAAGACAACAATTTAGGAAACAGATAAGTATTTAGGTGTTGAACTGGCAGTGTTTTTTTTTTTTACATTTCACCGATTTTTTTTCATCACTTACTTGTTTCGGCCTGTGAAACTATCCTTTCGGTCTTTAGTGGGAGATATGTTCCGCATTTTCTCTGAAGGGTGGCTTGGCTTTGTAAAACAAAAATCACAGTAAACAAATCACAATATAAAGTGCATCATATTGTGGATAATGCATGGACCATAACATAATCCACAATAGATGGAATTCTCATAAATAGAGAGCTTACCATATAGCCAATGGCATCAAGTTCTCTCAATGCGTTACTTCTTCTTGCGTCGTAGTCAATCTCATCTTCTTCTTCATTATCTTCACTGAAACCGTCAACACCACCATCAAGAAGTGACTTTAATCTCTCCTCCACATCAAAGCTTTCATCTTGCTGTAAGTCAGATCTGCGTTGTGGTGGTGGGATCATCAATTCGTCATCAGTTTCCTGATAATGTAAACATAAATAATTAGCGATAATTATAAGAAAAGTTATGATATAGCGGATTTCGTATGAGTGGGAAACGGACGGTACTGTAGTGTGACCGTAATCGTACTGTAACCAAATTCTAGTGCCCTATTGGTTCACCAAAATTCGTGCAGGCCAGATCCGGTAACTGTGCGTTAACCGTGCGGTAACGGTGTCCCACTCATACGAAATCCGCTCTATACTATCTGGGAAAAACTTTTTGTTTTCTTTAGTTTTATTACCTCCTCAAGACCACCTGGGTTTGGTGTATTCAACAATGACCTGAGTCTTTCTTCAACAGATGGAGAGATGATATCAGGATCGCTCTCCTGTAATTATGTTATAAATAATAATTAATAATAATAATTATGTAATAAAAGCGTTCTTTGCTGTTTTCCAATTGATTTTGGCTGCCTAATTCATAAACTATCAGATATATCGACCAAATGATTAAATGGATGATTGGCCGAATAATTGAAAAAAATGAAATGGCAAACACTAATATATACCTGATAAAGTTTTGAGTTTGGTAGATTAACATTTTTCCTAAGTTCATATCCACTTTGATAAGCAGTTTTCCTGTCAAGTTTGGTTGTCGACTAGATCAATAAAACAACATCATCATCATTAATCATCGTCATCACAGTAACCCTAATGCTACAACTACTACAACAATCTTTAACCAACATTTAATCAACAACGTCATCATTATCAATGATACCAACCACAATGACATCATTAGGATGAAGCACTTTGTCGGAAGGAGAATGGGGATCAGCCATCATTCCTGGCATCTCAAGGCCCATGCCATTTGTGACACGGTTTGGAGAGTACTCCTCTGAATGGTAGCCTGAACTGTTTCCATGTAATTTGTTAATATCACCATCATAGTCCTTCATATTGTGATTGACATGACCATTCATTAATCTGTTACTTTGTTTTATTGAGTCTGAAGAATGTGGTCTTTTGGTGTCTGGCGTGCCTGCTCGGCTTACCTTTAAAGAAAATGAGGACAAATTAACTTGGCAATGCAGTAAAACAAGATGTAAAAATGATAATAATAAAAAATGGAAATTTCTTTTCCATTGACTGGAGTACATGCATCATAAAGAATGGAATATGTATTGTAGCATGTTTGTAAATAATTGACAGTTATTACTGGTATGCACATACAAAATAATTTAATTATTGAATGAGGAAAACAAAATCCTCTCACTACGCAGGAATAATTTCAATATTCAATACCTCAAATTTCTTTTTCAGATTACCACAAAGAGATAAAATACTATTCAGATTTCCATCAATAAGATCTGCATTACAAGGTTAATAAAAATTGATTACTATAACAAGATTATCAATACAGTTATTAAGTCAATCAGAATACAGCCACATTTTCAGAAATATAAACTTTATAAAAGATGTAGATGCGTAATTTGACAGATGGAATTATAAGAAACATGGGGGAGTGACAAATGAGATCCAGCCAAGATGTTCTGAGCAATTATAATCATATTTTCCTCAACCATTGTCATCGCTATTAACAAATGACTTTACAAATATGATGTCCTCACCTCCAACATAAATTCCTTGCAGGTTGATGCTTCTGTTTCCCATAAAACTCATACATAACTGAAGGTTTTCAAGCTTTTGTGCTCTAGTCACAGGCCGAGCATAAACACCAGGAATCTTCTCTCCAGCTATACAGTATCAAAAAGTTAGATATAATTTTGAAAAGCTGTTCAATATGGTTAAAACTACAATTAAGATGAGACAATAAACTAGTTTTGCAGTTTTCAATTTTGCTAGGTTATCTATATATACCCAAGCAATCATGGACATCTATTACGGCCAAGTAGAATAACATTCAGTATTTGTATTTCATAAAACTATGTTTTTTCAGTACTGATCTTATCAGATTGACCTTTGTTGGTATTTAGACTAAATTTTAAATTTGGTAGATTGATCAAGTTCAAGTTCCATAAAAAACATCCTACAAAAATATATAATATCCCACATTGATGAATAACAATACAGTCAATAACAAGTATTTTTCTAATCTGTGTACATTTACATGTGGCTGTTCGTTGATATGCCCATTTCAACATCTTCTATAAATACCCATCCTTGGACTTGTCCAAAAAGAAATAGCTTAAACTTAAATCAAATCAATGTTTTACATGGCTCTATAGGTATTTCAGCCTTGGTTATTGACAATTAGTGAATACCTCACCACTGTACATGGTTACTCTATAAACACGAATGGTTGTCAAAGTGTGATGCCTGCACTGATACTGTTTACAGTAAGGCAGTCTAGAAGATTAATTTGTCAGTAGATAGGTGTTAAAATTACACACCACTAATTGAATAATCTAATTTGTACACATTTGAACTTAATGACAAGAAGCTGCTGACAAACAAAACTAAATGGACCAACTTAATTTAGCCTAATATGGACACTTCAGAGATGTGACAGTCTGTCTTTCCTAGCTATAGAAAGTAACAGCTAGATTCTGAAGACAAATGTATATAATGAGCACTACAATTTGCTGGGCAGCCTGAGTAATAGCCCTAGAGTGATTAGGAAGTGCTTTTAAAATATGCTCCCTACTAATGACCTTATGACTGCTAAACAGGCTAATGTTAAGATTGGTGGAGGCTTGGCAAGCAGAAAAAAAATCATATTTATAACCTGATGTTTTTCAAGATATACAATGCATAGTTTCAGTATTTGAAATACTAGTAAGTATAGACTAGATACAAATAAAAACTACAATTTATCCATAACTTAAGTATGCTTACTCATGACTATTGCACAGTATTAAGTCAAGGATTAGGCATAACCTCTCACTCATTATACATAAGGACATGCTGTCTTTTAGCCGAGAATTGATGTATACTCTATTATGCAAATAACAGTAGCTAATTACAGACCAGTATGAGTCATGGTTTGTTGTCAACAATAGGCACAGTATATGGTTGATTAACTTTGAACATTTTATGCCATGCCATTTTGAAGCAATTAATTTGTTTACTGTTGACCAACGACAGAGATATTTTCAACAAAACCTTACATCTTTATAAGATCCAAGTAGTAATTTTATAGCTATGTGGGCACCAATATTATTACCTCTGTTATTTGTATAAATGTATTTATAACATAATGATTTTCTGACCTCAAACCTTGGGCAATTAAAAGCCATCACCTTAAAGTCAGCAATTTAATTAAATTGATATTGAAAATATCTCGCAAATGAGACATTTTTTTGGAAAGTTTTAATATTCTGATTTGATTGCTTAAGTCGATTTAATTGTCTGGATCAGTGACCGTTCGAGAACAAATCTGACCTTTTAAGGTAAACTTTGTAATCCTTAGAAGGATATAGCAAGAAAATACAAGCGTCAATTCGCAAATATAACAACTACCTCCCAATGGATTAGTAATAAGGATAAAAGATTTTAACGCCGTTGAAGTGCCTCAACATCTGACTTAGCAACGGGGTGCATATAAACCGCGTCATTCTCAAGATTGCCTTAGTTGTTTATACTCACTAACCTAAAACTTCTAGAATATGGACTAAAGTTTGTCCATCTCCGATTGACTTGCGAATATCACTGATGACACGGAATCGTCCTCTCTTGAGCAAGTTATTCGCCCAATTTGTAAACTCCTGTGGTTTTGAAACAGAAGCAATATTTCACAACAAAGTACTTGAAGTTTTACAGGGGATATTAATTTTTAATTTGCGTGAATAAGAGAGCAATCGGAACTTAGAAATTCTAGTTTTTTTGAACGAAAGACAAAACCATGATTGACTTGTAACGTGACGTTACGTTTTTCAATTCATTTCATCTTTCTACGGGATCAACGTCAATTAGTTTACAGTTAATTAATTAAAAGGTGAACCATATACAAACCTCACATTCTTGCAAGGCCCATTCTCCACTTACTGACACTTTGACAGGCGAATTTTTTGAAAGAAGCGTCCCGAAAGACGGCTCTCTTTCTTTTCTTCTCGTGAAAGCTTGTTTCGTAGCCCACGTTTGAGCAACTACATGACGGTTATCTTTTGAACTAGTAGCAGTATTTTGAGCCGCTGTGGCTGAGCCTAGAGAATTTGTAGGTTGAAGCTCAATGCCATCATCCCAGCTAAGCTGAAAAACGGAAAACCACGCTTAAAGATCGACAAGGAAACGCAAGCCTCAAAGTCAAACATATGACAACATTCCAAGACCACTAAAGAAATGTCTTCTGGAATTCGTACTTACAACAGGCTGTTGTCCTCCAACTCCTACACGGCCTTTGGGTTTCCTTGAATGTCCTAAAACGTACTTTGTTTCTGCCATAAGTCACTTTACCATTTCAAGTGTATTTTATAGTGCCTTTTACGCGTTAGCTTTGTCCCGTGTTGTTGACAATGACCCTCGTGAAAGATATGGAGTCCGTGACTTGACATCTTGCTGAACAATGATTGGCTGATTGACAATCATCATACTAATTCAATTCTTTGATTTCAAAAATGCTCACTTTTATTTAGAAGATCAATCGAATCACTCTACGATGAAAATTATTCAGAAAGCTTTTCTTTTTAGTTAAAATAGTTTGCTTGCGTCAAAAATGAAAAAAATTGCAATTTATATTTCACTTTTCATCATCTAGCGTGATGATTTTGCCCGCCGGGCCGAGATACTTGAACTTTAGCAACTTGTGCCAGAAAGTATTACGAAAAACTTTCAGAATGCCATCACGCCATGCAGAGAGTAAAGTCTGATCGATTCCACCAAACAAACTACAAGTCTCGCGCCTGGAGATTGGTGACAGTGCACATCCCCTTTCAGCGGCGGATGATCTAGCATTGAATGGGGTGTGTGTGTGTGTGGGGGGGGGGGGGGGGGGGGGGTGCTTTTGTCAGTAATACACAGCTAAAAACTAAGTATAGAAGATTTAATTGTTAGCTGCGTATTGTCTAGAGCAAGAAAATTATGCACAATTCGACCGGAAGCAAATTGACTTTTAAGATCGTTAAGCAGCATAGTGGCAGACACATATTGTGTATGCTACTCGTTTTCTAGATAAATGTACGACAGGAGTAGTATAAATAGCAGAAAAAAACTTGGGAGGAGACTCCTGGAAATCTCTAAATATATTTCCATAGTGTGCCTGAACGCTTTTCAACAAGGCAAGTTTTCGAGAAACAGTCGGTCATGCATTTGAAAAAAAGTGTGCAAAACTCAGCCTAGTAGTAGAACACTAGTACGAGAGCTCTTTTCTCGGGCGTCCGTTTAAAGTTTATAAATATATATAAAAAATAAAGTTAATATAGATAAAAATTTATTGCATAAAATCAATAAAAAAAAATTATTGCTTCGGAAAACTAATTTCATAAAAATTGAAGATGACTGCAAAAAAACACAAACAAACAAAAAAAAAGCAATGATGGAAAGCCAATGCAATGATTCAAAATCAAAACACATCTGTGGTTTTCCGTTTTCTGCGAACTCTAGCACTGCAAACTTGAACGGTCATTTGCTGTTTTCTTGCTCTCGTTAATCAAAATTCAACTTCAATTGCAATGCTTTATTATTATTTGCTATAGTACTGTCAACAATGTGCAATTATTTCTTTGTAAGGGCTGAATGCAAATATTACTAATACAATAATACTACAATGGTCTACTCAGTACAAGTCTACAATGACGTTTTTGCTGCGCCCCCTTTCTTGACTTAAATGGATAAAAAAGATATCGAGTATAATGATTTTGATTCATATTAAACGTTTAGATAGTTCGAAGCTAGTTCTATTACAAACTCATATATCCAGTCCTAATCCTGATTAGTTCCAGGGTATCCTGAGTTCATCCAGCGTTTACTCGTAAACACGTTCATAAAGCCAAATGGAAGCAGGCTAGTTCCAGGCGATAGGGTGGCTATATAAAAATCAGTTATTAGTCAGTATTAGATTCTTTCTTATAGATTAATAATAGCCACACTCCTTTGTAACTTTCTGGATTCGCCGTAGTAGTTCCTATAAAAACTGCAACAAATCGAGATTAACACTGTTAACAACTTGGAGATCTCAGTTTCCACATCGGTAAGAGCTATTCCTAAGATAGTATCTAGATGCAGGCTAAACTGTTATAAGATAAGTAATATATTGGTGTTCATGAGTCCTTCAGATATGTTAGATATGTCGAGCAATGCTTTGCTCACTTTTTTGGCCATCAAAACTTGAGCCAATTAGGTAACTGGTGACGGACTTCCAGCAATGAATGGCGCCAGCTTTGCACTTTTCCTTGAAGGACTTTTCATCCTTGATTTTCGTCAAAACCAGTGCTTGTTGACGGACTTCTTTCAAAGACTGTACTCGTCTAGTAAAGCCTTTTTTAGCTTCCATTTCCTCTGACTGAATCAACAGATCGATATACTGGACTTCAGAGAGTGGATTGGGTCTCAAGGCAATCTCTTCAAGGCGTGCAATGCTGTCTCTAGCGTTGGAGATGTTCGAGAACACGACATAGTACATGATCTCGAGTTCATTTGTAAGGCCTGACATGATTTCTTCCTTTTGCGTCTTCTTGCTCTCTGCTTCTTTGTAGCGCTTTTTGATCTCATCTGAGGTCTTGGTCACTTGTACTTCGTACAACTCAAACCTGTATGGATTATTTTTGTGATTATTCCAGTAGCAACCTGAGGGACACACTTTACAGTAGCCTGAACTATTCATTGCACAGCAATCTTTCTTGTCTGCATCGTCTGCGTAAGCACAATCATCATGGCATGTCATGTTGCACCTCAGGCAATTGGTTGTATGTGTTCCCCGAGGTAAGTCTATTTTTCGCTGCCTGGTTTCTGTAATTTCGTAGGTGAAATCTTTGTTTGTCTCAATATCTTTCTCGTGAAGCTTCATGATGCGTTCTTCTTGATGCAGCTGATCTACTTTAGACAAACCAAGTTGTATTTGCGTCTGAAGACCCTGAATGAGGCATTCGAGCTGTTCTCTTTCCTTGAGAACTTCTTTTGTCAATTGTAGGCTGACACTCCGGACTTTACCAAATTCCTTAAAGAAATGCTGAAAGCTTTTCTCTCCCATTTTCCAGAACATTTCATTGAAAGAATCATCATCGTCGTCATCTGCACCTTCGTCTGGAAGAAGTGCTGAATTATTGAACTTAAACACCTGCTGGTACTCAAAGCCTTGCGCCTTTATTGCGTCTAGTATCTGTGGCCTTTTTCCATCTGCAAATGTCACCATCATAAAAATGTTCTTGCCCATATCTTTGCCAAAAATGCTGAGGATGGAGTCAAAGATGTACTTCTGAGTCGGGGTAAGTCTGGCCAAAGATGATTGCACGACAAAGCCAATGCCATCCAGGTGATCGATGCCTTGTTTCCCTCCAAGGGAGAAGAACTCCTTTATCTGCTTAGTGATTTGTTTATCTCTGTCGAGACCACTTGTGTCACCATAACCTGGTGTGTCGATGATAGTCAAAGTAAAGGGAAGCCCACAATGTTCTTTCCTCTTAGGAAATGTATATGCAGTAATTGAACTTGTTTGACTGTGAGCTTGCGACTTCTTTCCTTCATCAGTTATAAGTTTGTAGCGGTATTTATCCTTGTACTGGACACCCATGATAAAGTTGACAAAGCCATTGATCAGAGTACTCTTTCCCGAGCCTGTAGCTCCCAACAGCATTAATACCTTGCCATGCTTGGAGGGTTGAGTTGGGTCAACTTCACCAACTGTAATCTTTCTAATATTGTAATCTTGGTTTTCGGTTGTTGTTTTAGTAGCTAGTCCTTTAATTCGGTGAGAGGATCCAGACATTTTGTCGACACTTTTCTCTTGAAATAAGAACAATATCAGTTATTCAAATATAGGATATACAAAACGTAATAATTAGTTTTGGTCTAGTTTAATGCACAGCAGTCAACAGCCCTCGGATCCTTCATTGCATAAAGACATTGGTCTGATGAGGACTAGAGTTAGACAGTGGGATGCAGGCATTTTTTCAAAAAATATCCCGTAGTCCCGTTCAACTCAAAACTATCCTAATTTATTGGACGTTAAATGTTAATAGATCTATCCGATATCCTACTTTTTTATATCCCGTATCCCTACATGTTTTTTCTTAAAATCTCATATCCGAAAACCCCTATCAGGGCCTCACTGATCATTGAATTCCCGCGGGCCGAAAAATCGTAAAGGACCCGTAAACGTCTTGGCATGTCACGCGCACAATGTTCAAATGGATTTCCGAGAAGTCCCTCGACATTGGTGATCACTGATAGAAACCGTAAAATGTATACATTGGATCGTCAGTTTAAGTATTTCTTAAATGACAATATAGTAGGAAATCTACCTCGAAACCTTTAAAACATTGCCAAATGCAGGAAATTAGAAAAATGAAACTGAACCTGGAAAGCCGTAGTCGATGAGTGGGCGTTGTTCACTGTAGTGATTATAACAACATGACTTCTTGGTTCTGCCGACAAATGGGCGTATTGACGGGACTAATCTTTGACCAGGAATGTTTCCCACTATAGATTGTAAGAGCATCTCCGTTATGGTAACAAAATATCTACTATTCAAGCGAATGCCTGTTGCTTACCTTTAAGCTCAGTAGATCTCGGAAGGTGAAATGACGCTCCTTCAGAGTAATGTTAATACTTAACTTGCTTTTTCTGCAATATCATTGGCTGCCGCACTGACTTTGACAGGTCCAAAAATAGAATAATGCTCTTACAACGTGTTCCTTGAATTCTCAGAAATCCTTGTTTAGTTAGTGTCTCAGTTGTCACGCTCTCACAGGAGATTCCTGAGCCCCCAGTGATTTTGTTCAGAGACTGTTTAATGACTATTGATACTTACTATAAAGAGAGTTCTAGTTACAATTACAACTGAACTATGATGTAGTGAAAAAGACATCTTTACATTGTGAAATATTATGAAATCGAAAAAGTTGATTAATAACAATGAAACATCTATAAACAATGTATTCCCGTTTTCTTAGCCCATTGCTACATCAACTTTAGATGAAACCTTTTTACAGCCTGACACAGAAAATAGTTCCAAATCCTCTGGGATGTAAGTCATTTCATTAGCTATTTCTGTGACCATTGTTTCAAGTTCAATAAAGCCTTTGGATTTCAAATCTTTTTTCACACACTGCTTGACATGTGACCTCTCTAGGGGTAGAAAAGGGACGAAATGGTCTATCACTTCAGATGCGATCAGTTCTTGATACCACGCTGTAGGATTTGCATCTGCATATGAATGAAGTAAATGCTCAAGCTGGACAAGTTCTATGTCCTCTCTTGCAAGACCTTTCTTGTAATATTGGAGTACATAGTTATTGATTGATTTGCCACCAGTATTTGAAAGAAACAAGAATATGACATTTTGAAAATCAAGGTTATTCTTGGCTCCTTTTGGGTCAAGAAATGGCTTTAATACAGTTACAACACCAGGAGGGATTTTATCCATCTCATCAAAGATAAACAGACCACCTTTATTGCACTTTGTTATGTTACCAAGAATCCAATCGTGTAGCTGCTGTCGATACAAACCCACCTCAGAAACATGTGGGAAGTGCAAAGGAATGATAAACTTATAAACAAACTTACTATCCAACCCTTGTTTGAAGATGTGTTTAGCAATAAGCCCAGTGACAAAGTTTTTGCCTGTCCCAGTCCAACCATGAAGTGAAAGAACAAGTGGTTTGTTTTTGTTAGTAAACTGACTATGACTTTTCAAAGATGACAATAATACTCTCATTGCAAGATGCTGTCCATAAAACTCTTGATTGAGATCACTCTCCAATCCTGTCAGATTGTGTCTGAACTCACTATCTAAGCACAAACCATGAGGATTGACATGAAGGTAAATAGCAGCAACTGCAACAGATACGATGAACACAAAAATTGTAAACACTGATGAAAGGTTAATTGGTTTTTCAGGCCTCTTGTCATGTGAAGTGTCTGGATTTTTGTTACTTTTTTCACTGGTACTGTTTCTGACAGAACTATTAATTTTGTCATCATTGTCCTCGTCATCACTAAATGATATAAACTTAGGGCTTTTACTTTGCTTTCTAGGCTTCCTTTGAGTGACATTGTCATGATTGACAAGAGCTCTTGGCAAGGGATTTTCATCATCTATCTCTATAACCTCAGTATCATCCATGTGAGAAGCTTCACCAATCCAGCTCATTCCACAGTCTTCTTTTTCTTCCTCAGCTTCAGTCGAATATAATTTGGGTAACTTGTAAGAAGTTTTAGATCTTTGTTTACTTGGGTTGAATGCTGTATTTGAATCATAAAGAACAATGCTTAGATCAGGCTTTATTTTTGTATTAAAATTAGTTATGTTTTTATTTGATTGACCAAGCCTTGGAAAATATCGATTTTCTGGAGATTTGTGAAGTGATTGAAGCAAGCCTTGTTGGCGATTGTCTTGAAAGCCATCACTCATTATTGCAGGAGATGAATTCTGTCTGATGGGACTGAAAATGTGTCTTTTATCAGTACATTTACTAGCTTCCTTAGCTCTTCTTATTTCTTCTGCTCTGGTATTTCTAGTCAAGTCAACATGTTTCAATCCCACAGATCTCACAGGTCGGCCAATAAGAAGTGACTTATTAGAACAAGTGACTTCATTAGTGCGACTGATTTCTGGTACCATATTATTTGGAAACATCGGAGCATCTAAAGTGAAGGTTTTGTTTGCAACTGTACTGGCTGCATTGTCTAAATTACAATCTGTTTCCATGGCTACATGGTTCTCTTCGTCTGAATTCAAACTGTGGTCAGAATCATCACTATTTGGACTCCAATTATTTCTTGGTTCTCTAAACCAGCCTAATCTAGCAGGACTTGAGCTGATAGCCGAAAAAGAGCGCTGGAAACCAATCTTCTTGCTTCGTGAAGACATATTCTCGACAGCCAACTGCGGTCAAAAGTATTCAAAACCAAAGCAAAGCCATCTTTGTGAAGGCATAAATCTTAAGTACATATAATATATAATAAACAAGACAATCTTCAACCGTATATGGTGAATTTGGAACAGTCTACACTCGCAATAACTTGAAATAAGAAGTTGTAGTGAAGTTCCTCACTCCCGCCATATTTATATTAGTACCCAGTCCCCCCTCACAAAATACAACAGGTAACCCAACTTACAGAAATGCAAAACTGATTTCTGTATAAAGACTATAAAGCCCTAGATGGGGATAACCAAGAGATAATCATTTACAAAACTAGTGTAAAAATAATTCAAACTACTGATTTATTTTCTATACATTCTCAATGTAGTACATGTAAAGGTTTTAAGCTTGTTATAACATGATTAGGATCAACAACACTATTATCCTCGAGTGTAAAATTAAAGAATCTGTCTATAACATATGCTTTCATTCCTATAGCTTTAGCTGCATTATAGTCCTTAACTACACTATCACCAACATGCAATGCTTGATATGCCTTAACTTCACCATGCTGAAGTGCCAGCTGAAATATCTTTGGAGACGGTTTGGCGACCTTGACTTCAGTTGAGCACAGCACGAAAGAAAAGTATTTCAAAACGTCCAGTCCTTGTAGTATAGCAGGTAATCTTTCGTCAAAGTTAGACACAACACCTAACTTGTAGCCTGTATTCTTCAAAAGATCTAAAACTGGATGGACATCATCAAACAATTGCCAGTTTTCAGGGAGTCTAAAGTCTTGATAAAGAGAAGAAGCAATATTGGAGATTAAGTCATCATCTTCACAGCCAGAATTCTTAAATGTTGTGTGAACAATTTTGTGCCAAAAACATTGAGTGCTGATATTATTTTGAACCCCAAAGTTTGGATATTTTTTGTAGTAGTTTTTGTAGATTTTTTTGTATTGTGAATCCAGTAACATAGGATTTATGCAAAGGCCATGCTGCTTTGCAGTCTTGCTGTATATTTGTCCAACACTACCACGAACTGTTAGTAAGGTATTAAAGGCATCTAGAGTAATAAGACGAATCATTGAACCCTGTTATCCTACTCAACTTTCTATCCAACTACTAGTAAAGTCCACCATTTTTGTCATAAAATACACAGGAAGCCCAGTATTGCTAAGCTCATGAAAAGCTTTTGGTATATGAGGACATAACTGTATACAGCTATTTCAAAAAACGTTGTCGGGGAGAACGACGAACGGCGATTGTCGAAGAGAGATTGCACGACTGAAAGGGACTATGGTTACACTGTTTTGATAAACAAAATTTCACTTATTGGATTCACCTTACATAAAAAAGGAGACTAAAGGATCCAGTGTTTACCACAGACCATCTTACAGTACAATCAGTTGTTATTGCCTTTCAACTAGCAAAAGACCCATGGCTACTTTCGTTCGTGCAATCGCCRTTAGACCATTGACATTCGCCATTTTATCCGACAACCTTTTTTGAAATAGCTATATTTTCTGAGCTTTATACAAATAAAGTCTCTTCATAAATCGTTAACTGAAATCTTGCCCAGAAAAACTTTTTTTCTGGTAGTATACAGTTTGGGCTTCCAGTGCTTAATTTTGACATGGATAATAACGTAACCCAACGTACTACTATGTCAGAACTCTTATAATTAGAAAGATTCAACTCCATGTTGAAATAATATTTATTGTTAAGAAAATAGCAATTTCTGCCAAATGTAAGTACAATGTTGCTCAATTGCTTTAAACTAAATAAAGACACAAATGGTGTAAAAATAGACAATAAATTAATACAACTAAGCAGTAAGAGCTGCTTATTTTGCCTATTTTCTTAGAAAGCCCTATTTTTTCTGAGATGGGAGGGATGTACTCAAAAGAGTAGAGCCATTAAAACTACTATTTTGAATAGCAGCAATTCCTCTGCACTTTTGTGGCAATGTACAAATGTACTATATCCCAGTGATGGGATTTTTTAGGTGTTTTGTGTCTTCAATTAATATTTTCTTCCAACAATGATTACTCTTTTGAAACAATGAAACCACTGAAAATAGCTTAAAATCTAGATCACATGCAGACCTTAACCCCTAGATATAAAGCTTTTTATTACAAAGAATGCTTATCAGTTAGCAAAAGTTTTTTCTGTATATATTGCTCATATGTACATAGTGTTTATAGCCAGTATTATGAACTCTCTTCAAATTGAGCCTTGTTCTTCAAAAGGTAGGTTGCCAAGTACTCAATTGCATTGGGAGGTCTGAAATAAAACAGTATAATAGACACTGAGTTATTTATATAAACCAGGCAATGCTTGGAATCTGCTGGAAGCATTATAAGCAATATCCCATGTGTCATGGTTTAGGAGTCCTGGATTAGGAATGATATTCCTCAATCTTGCTTCTGGTATCAAGATGCAAGTAAGACACTTCTACTGTTTTGTATTGATGACCTTCATCTTGTCTGGTTGTCTTAATATGTCAGTATTGACTATTCTTAAAATTCCAGGATAAACAGGAATATAGCCTCGTTTCAGGTATAGAAAACACAGGGAATAGCCAAAAAATGTAAACATAAATTTGAGACTAAGACTTCTTGCACTGGAATTTTAAGAATAGTCAATAACTGTCAAGGTTTTGAGATTTTGCTCTCTCGCTCCTGAGTGTTGCCATTCAAGCAAGACACTACTTAGCTTTCATTACTGATGCTAGGCACAATCACAAATGCATTTTAAAAACTTCTAAACAGTCCCACTACCATAGAAACTGCAGTCACTTCTACAATAATATTGCTGTAATTAATATTATCAATACCTTTCTTTGGCTAAAGTTGCAAGTCCTTGCAGTAGGATTGGTACTACAGTCTGGTCAAGATATGCCCTTGTTGGTAATGACTGCAAATCAACTTTAGGTTTGGTTGGTTTATCAACTTCTTCCTTTTCTTTCTCAATTACTTTCTAGAAAGATGAGATATAAAGCAGAACCTCTATTATAAACTATCACCTTGCAATATTATAATCATTTCTCTGCTATACCAAGCACAAAAGGCCTCCAAACCATCACTTCAAACCATTATATTTCTTGACACCACCTTTCCATGAAATGGTCACCCTTGGAACATTCAATTATGGCTATCATCTGAACAAAGGTGTTATAGGGGGTAAATAACTGAATTGGGACTTTTTAGATACCACTTTTTTTTTCCCAATAATATCAGCTGTTAGGAGAATCTTTGCCATATTCCACTCTGAATAGAGAACTTTAAAAAGTGAAAGTGTCACTCATTCTATTCTCCTTCCATCACATCTTTCATACTCTCAACAATGAACACAACAATACCAAAGCAACGTTTAATACCATTGTTAATACAGTCCCAAAAAGCGAGAGAGTTTGTTCATCAATGTGAATTTGAATAGTAATTTCATTGTACCTGTAAACTGTCTGTTAATCCAATTTCAGCATGAGGGGATGTTTCCATTGCCTATAAAGTTGACCATTTACAAACAATAAACTTCATATACAAATATATCTATAGCTTACAGTTCCTGTATATTAAGTATTGAATTTATTGTTGTTCCAAACTCTTGATCATGACGCTTGTGAATTGATTTAGAAAGTCAAAACTGTCGACACACAAATCACGAATTATGAAAATGACATAAAAAGCCTGTGTCCAATGTGACAGCTACAATATTTTCAGTTGTTACCTCAGGTTTACTTTGGTTATTTTCCTCCGTTGTTGGAGCTTGGGAAACCTGTTCAGGAACACCTAAAGTAAAATATACCATTATACAAACAAACCAAAATTTCTAGACGTATCAAAAGGGTAGAGATGCCACTTTGTTTATCAGTTCATTGGACTTCACTTACTTTCTGAGTCCGCCATGTTTTTTGTTCTTTCTTTGGTTACCAAGCAAGAGAGCGCACTGCTCTATGGGTAATATTATGTTCTTTTGTTTTTGGCGCGAACGAGGCGCGAACCTAAAGCTTATGAGCTTTGATACTTATTACGATGTTAATATTATAGTAACCTATTCCAAATTTCTTCAACACATTTATACTTTAAGCTATTTATTGCTATAAATTTAAAAATGGTTTCAATAATAAATAATTGAAAATAAAAGCGAAAGGTAATGAGAAAAAGAATGAGAATGCCAGTTTCTTTTCTCTATCACTTTTCTCTTTTCATCTATTCGAAATCTCTTAAATCATGTGAAAAGTTTTTTTTTTAAATCTTATTTTAAAATAGGTTGATATATACTCTTATAGGGGGTAGGGTACGTCGTCATAAATCATCCACTAGTCGTCACGTGATGCGAGCTAAGAGTGTAGAGTGCACGGTACGTGTGGACAACCATGATGGTAAGTTTCGGCCTCTAACGATCCTAAAATACTACAATACACCAGAATATTACTTGAATAACCGAGATATATGTTAATTCATTGTAGGACGCAACGGATAGTCAAGATATGCTGGATGATGAGAAGGTAAAATACACAAATTGTGTCATTGAATTCGGTGTCTGTCAGTGAGATTGTTGGAGTACCTCTACTCTATCTTTACTTGTTTTCCTTTTACTTTCATAGCCACGAACATCTACCGTCGACCTTTCCACAGATTCTACGCTTGTAGTTGATATTTCAGATGCTCTTAGTGAGAGGGATCGTGTTAAATTCACTGTACATACGAAGGTTTGTGCAAGGAGGGGAAGAATACTGTCATATGTACCTTACGTGTATAAAGCTGAAGCAACCCTCAGTAAGCTTAGGTCTTTTTTTGTAGACTACTCTACCTGATTTCAAAGAGAGTGAGTTCAGCGTTGTAAGAGAGCACGAAGAATTTGTCTGGCTGCACGATCGCCTTGTGGATAATGATGAATATGCGGGCATAATTGTGAGTACACGACATAGAATTGATTATAAAAGGCTGGTTCAAGAAATTTATTTACAAAAAGTCATTAGATTAACAGCTTGTAGAAAATGTAGTTCATCATTATTATTTGTTTTGCCATTAAACACTACATGTTTAGTCCTCTCTTTATGACTTGCTTGTCTTTCTTTTTAAAAATATTCAAAAATAATTTGTTCCCTGCTTTTCGTTTCCTGTTTTAGATCCCACCAGCACCACCCAAGCCAGATTTTGATGTTTCTCGTGAAAAACTTCAGAAGTTAGGAGAAGGTGAGATATTGTTACTGCTGTTGCTACAGCTGTTAGTTATAACTTTATTGCTAAAATGTGGTAATCATCTTCAATTATCATATTTTAGGTGAAAACACCATGACGAAAGAAGAATTCCAGAAAATGAAGCAGGAACTTGAGGCGTAAGTATTAAGCTTTTGATCTTTGCAGTATAATGTAATAAAATATTTCCTGGAAATAATAAGAAAAGTAAATATTTATTTAATTCTAAAATAATATTATTTTAACTTATAGTGAGTACCTAGCAACATTCAAGAAGACTGTTGCCATGCATGAAGTTTTTCTAACCCGAATTGCTTCACATCCAAGTTTGAGAAAAGACAGTAATTTCAAAGTGTTCCTTGAGTATAAAGGAGAGGTATACCTTGAAAATATAACCTGGTATATGATACATCAAGAGGGGAAATCATTAATGAAGATAATTATAACTCTATTAAATCTCATTGAGTTTCTTTTGTACTATTATATGACTAATGAAGATTATTGCCTTTTGTAGTTGAATGTACGTGGTAAGAACAAGAAAGAAAAGTTGGGTGGACTTTTTAAAGGTTTGGCTAAAGGTGTTGATGAAGCACTACTGTCAAGTCAAAAGGTAATTTGCTGTTAAATGCTATTTTAAAATGGTACTGAGGCGCATCCATGGTATTGTTGTATGTTATATTTATAACTCCATAATTTTATTTGCAGGATGTTGATGAATTTTTTGAAAGTGAAAAGAAATTTCTTGTTGAATACCACAACAAGTAAGAAGTCATATTGGCTTTATTACACATTTATTGTGATTGAACCCTCACCATTTGTATTCATAAATCCCTTTAAAGATATATTTATTATACATGTAGTAGTATTTACCAATACAGATACCTAGAGTGGTTTGCATCTTTGGTAATAATCCATGGATTCAGTGTTTGACAGTTTCTTATAGTCATTTCCATCAAAAGAAAAGTCTACTAATCTCTCTTAGACGGGTAACTGAATCACAGTGAAAGTCATTCACAATGATTAATGTTGAGATGAATGCAACACTATCTGGTATCATATTTGAGATCCTTATTCCCCTGTACATTGCATACATTACAAGTTGTTGTTGTTGGGTGTGTATCTGGTCTAAACTTTAGATTCTCTTTCTTCAAGACTAAAAGACTCTACACGTAAAGGAGATCACATGACAAGATGCCACAAGAATTGTGCCGACACATTCATAAAGATTTCTTCTGGTGTAGCGGCTATGGGAACCAGTGAATATGCAGGTCTTGATAAGTTCTTAAACAAGTCAGGAGACTACTTTGAAAGAGCTCGTAAACTGGAAGGAAGAGTTGCCTCTGATGAGGATTTAAAGCTTGTTGATTTGCTTCGCTATTACCTGAGAGACACAGAAGCCGCTAAAGACCTTCTCTATCGCCGTGCAAAGTGCTTGTCTGAGTTTGAGGCTGCAAACAAGGCCTTGGATAAAGCAAGGGTCAAGAACAAGGAAGTTGCTGCAGTAAGTGTAGATAAAGCTCATTCTTTAATTGTCGTTTGTAGTATTATTTCTTAGTGGGATAAATTCAGCTTTTTGCAACATAGATATTTAGAATTGCAGCACATTTTATTATAGCATGACTCAAAAAGTATTTCCTATTCAAATGTAGGCTGAGAGTGCTCAACAACATGCTAGTGAAAAATTTGAACAAATGTCAGAAGTAGCACGCCAAGAACTAACAGACTTCAAAACAAGAAGAGTCCAACATTTTAGAAAGAATCTGGTGAGAAATGTTGTCAAAACCAACTCAATTTGTCCATCTTTTTGTTTCCTTCTAATGTTTATTTTATATTTATTGTTCAAATGGTGTTGTTTTGATGTTGATTATTCTATCTTGTATTTCAGACTGAACTAGCAGAGTTAGAATTAAAGCATGCAAAAGTAAGTAGTTTTACAAATATGTGCATTGGATTTTGTAGTGAAAACTGTGTGCTGCATCTCCAGACTTCTAAGAACGGTGGCTATACATGTGCAAATTTGAATCTAATTTCTCTTTTTAGGCACATAGTCAACTGCTAAAGAACACACTGGCAGCACTAAAAGAATTGTAGTTACACCAAATATTGTAATCATTATGAAATACAAACCATTATGTTAACATTAAACGGAAATCTTGCTCTAAAAGTACCAGTAAATAGCCTTTAAAACGTCTTCTAAGTTCAGTGTTTACAATGAGCACATATCCTCTCTTAATTTTTGGACTTCAAAAGCATTAATGCTGTTGCAAAATAACTACCAACAAACATTTTTGCTTCTACCATCAAAAATAACCATGTCTCAAAAACAAGGTATTTTTCACTTATTGTAATACATATACTGGACCGCATTTTTTATGATTTTTTTTCTGCCAAACATCTTACAATGTTTTAGTAAGTTACTTGATTTTCAAAAGAATTTTCGTGGGTATCCTGTGATTGTGTACATCTAGCGTACATTTTATGTAGTTTTGACATTGCGACTCATTTTAGTCTGTTATAAGTTAATAATTTGTCAATTGATCACCTTAAATGAAAATAAATGTATAGTAAAATAGGAATGCATAATAAAGATCTATAAGTTTGGATACATGGGGTTTTTGTTGCTCTTTAGTTCTGTTGCAAATATTCAACTGAAGGGAACTGTTGACACCATGTCTTGTGAGCTTCACAAGTTTTTCAAAATACTATGCCTAAACCATGGGTTCAAGTCCCAGGCTTGAAAGGCTGTATCCCAAATTGGTGGGTTTCTACCATTTGGCAATTTCACATCGCACAAGTAATAGAAGACAAGTAATGTATAAATTTTTTTTGGATGCGCGCTAAAAATTGGAGTCAATAAAAAAGAATTGCTCTCAAACGTAGCTGCTGTTGCGCACCGAAGTGGGCCGGAAGTGACGAAGTTACTGGAAGTCAATCGACTTCCGTGTCAATCTGCCAGACACATTGTTGACAAAACCGCAGGATCATCGGTAATTCCTTGAAGCAAATCGTGCTTTATTTAATACTATTTACAACTTTAGATGGGGATGGTTACAAAATATTTTTCAGTTCTTAACATCAATATTCGCCTTTATTGAAAATAAAAGTTTCTCTTTCCCTTTCCGTGTACAACAATTGTACTGGTTGTCAACGTTAACAAAATCTACGTCACGAAAAGTTTTAATAATGTACACAGTCTTTCTTCCTAGTAAACATTGAAATGAATACAAAGGATTTGAGTTAATTTAAAGCTTGCCGTTAGGGAACTGTCATGCTTAAGAAGTTTTGAAGCCTGTTACTTTTGTCTCTTCAGCTTCAGTGGCTTAAGTCTTAGTCTGATTTTCCTCACTTCATCAAGACTTTGTGGAACATTCTGTTCCTGAGCGTATATTTTGGGTGCGTATTCGTGGAATCTATTTTTGGAAAAGCGAAGTGGTTTGATGTCAAAATGTTGTGGATCCTTGGAAAACTGAAGAGCTATTTCTCCAATTATACACAATTGTGTATCACTCTTGGCTCCTCCGACCAGGCAAATATCTCCAGATGGAGCAACAACAACAGGATCACCATCCTCGATTTCCAGACCGTCAAGAAATTGTGGCAGTAGGATGACAGATGCTGATACCGAGCCAAGGTTGTCCAAGTAGTACACACCAGCTTTGCTTCGCTTCCACAGTCGAGTTCCCCGGTTCTCCAGTCGATGCTCTAAGTTTCTGATGGCCACGTCTTTCAGCACTTTCTCAGAGATATTCCAAGCCTCAAGATAGCTGCGTAGAATGTACTGCAAAGATCCTTCTTCATTGACGATAGCCAAGGTGTATCCTAGAGAGGTCATTGGCAGTGTCATCACGGGAAAGAACAGTAGCTCGGGTGTCTTCTTGGGGTCGATCTTCTTCAACATATCTTTGGTTGACGCTTCCCAGCTCTTGGGCTTCAGGACGGGAAGAATTCGTGGTCTGGCAACTGCGAAGTCTGGGATTTTCTCCAGATCGATATTGATTCTGGTGGATTTGAGCATACGTTGCTGGGAAATCGCATCTGTTGCTGTAGCGGTGTTGCTTTTGGATGTTGTTGTAGCAATTGGTGCAGAAGATGTCTTGGATGCTGCCTTTGTTGCAGTTCCCTTGAGCTCCACACTTCGTTTGTCAATACTCGTTTTACTTGTGCTACTCTTTGAAGTTGTTTTCACCTCTTTCTTCTTGCCAGCTGCTTCATGACCAGGTTTGTTCAAGCCCTTCAAATTGACCCCGAAAACGTTGGCAATGTTTTGCTTTGGATCCTGTTTATCAGAAGACAAACTTTTCGTTTTAAAAGAAGACGACGACGTCCTGAAAGAAGAGCTGCTGTATCGTGACATGACGCGTTTATTCAAACTCAAAGTTGTATCAACTTTCCAGAAATTCGTATTCGCTGTTAGGATGAATGATCACTACACACCAAAGCTGCTACGTCCGTCAATATTTCTGTAAGACTGAGACGACAGCACCACAACTTCAACATACAACACAGCTGACGAATTCGACGGGACAGTGCAGTATTCAAAATACGATCTGTTCTGCTCTGTCAAACCTTTTGTATCAAATAGCTAGAATATTTTAGGTCGGTTCGATCTACAAACAAGGACCGGGATATATTACAGTGACCTAGATTGGATTACGCTTGATGGGATGTTGACTGATCGCTTGTAAAATTCTGGACATGTTAGGAATGACATATTGATATTTATCTTGATTGAATCTTTTGTGTCGATAAGTGAATGTTATTTAGTGTTTATTGCTTATTGTTCAATCCGATCACATTAAATCCACACAAAAACAACCTTTATGCATGCTTGATTACAGATTATAATATCTCTCACCCTAATCATTCCCATACATCCTGCTCGGCACAAACTACGCTACAAGATCAGATTCTGGATTTTCAACCAATCTATATCTGCTCTTATGCAATCTTCACAATAACCCACAATTATAGTTATATCTTTGAAAATTTGATGAATTTTACCGCCTGAGTCAATGATATCAAATTCTCAAAAACGTATGACCAGAAACTGTCCAAATTCATCGATACAATGATGACGTTTACTGTCTGAAAGGCTGACGGTAAATAATGACCCCCAATCCAACCTTTCATCCATATATACTAACATATCTGATGCGTCTATTTTTAAACACTGCAAACTGTCAAACTTACTGAAAAGTAAAATGTGAAATGAAATGAGATGGGAAAATATGAGCGCAAGTTTCCATCGATTCTATTTTGCATAAAAAAACTTGTGAGGACAAGCAAAAACACCAAATAATCGAGCAGTTATTATTTCATTTATTATCTTCAAAGAGCAGAAAGACTTATAAACTATTTACACGAGGAACTTGAACTTTTTTCACCTTAAAATACTGATAAGAACCCATGAAGGTCTATTTTACGTGCAGGGTATCTGATTCAGTGTCTTCAATCTCTCCTTCACTTTCACTCCCTTCTTCTGTGTGCTCTCTTTTGGAATGTGGAGACCCGGATCGAGATCTGCGAGATCTTTTACGATCCTTGCGCCTTTCCTTCGAGCTCGATCGGGATCTCTTTGGTGAAGACGGGATTTCTTCGGTTTTTGATTCAGTCTCTTGTTTTGGGTCAACTTGCTCCTTATCAGCTTGATCTGTTTCAGTTTTCTTTTCTTTGTCCAGAATTTGAAGGACTGAACGTGGAATATGCGCACGCTGAGAATACAATGATAGTTTTTTTTTTTAAATCATCCCTTGTCGCCGTGAAGACGAATTTTTAGCCTGCTAAGAAAAGATTTTATCTAATACCTGATGTGGAGTGAAAGACTGGACGTGATTGACAACATTATCACGAAGTTCAGGGCATATCTAAACAAGAAAACCATAGTGTTGAATACAATGGCAGTTCTTTAATCAATAGCCGACTTAAGATATTTTGGTTCAGTGACCATGCACAAAAGAATTGCAGACGAGGCTCCGGGGAAATAATGAATAAATCAAGATTATCCATTGATAATTTTATTTTTTTTAATATTGCAAAGAGTTATTTTGAAGTGCACGCTTCAAAATGACCAATCAAAGAGCGTATAATATCGTTTTATTCTTTATTTCCCCGGAGCCTCGTCTGCAATTCTTTTGTGCATGGTCACTGAACCAAAATATCTAAAGTCGGCTATTAATATTCAATCAATCGTGTATATGAAAAGAGATCAATAAACATTATTGTCACCAAAGCTATCGCTATCATCATATCACGATTCTTGAAAGAATCTCATCTTTACAAGTTACAACATAATTATCAATGTTATCATTGTTGTTGCTCAATCAACCTCCCCCAAATCATCACAATCATGATTCCTGTCATTATCATCAAGATAATCATCATCATTACACAGCTTATCCATCAACATTGCATAAAATAGATCACCTCGAAAGCACTTTCAAGTTGTCGCGGTGGAAGCTGAAGTAAAACTGAGAAAGACTGCGGTTTGGTCATCTGAAAAGGCATAAAAAACACGCATAAAACATCTATTTGTCTATAATGAATAAACCACATGATCTCTTCATACCTGACAGCATTTGACGAAACCTTGCCAGACTTTAGGCTGCTTCCACACCTGTTTTAAAAGACAAAAATGATCAGAAATGCCCTGCAGTGAGCCTTGAATGGGTTTTCATCTTTTCTACAGCTAATTAACGGCAAAAAGGAACAGCAACACAAGTAGATTTTTGTACGCCAATAGTAAATTGTACCTGCTTTGTGATGAGCTTTGATAACAAACTCATGACGAATCCGATAAGTCTTGGGCAAATACTAAGCGACTGGATTACCTGTGTAATATACAACATGAATGTGACAAACAGAAGTAAACGAAGAAAATGGGAGGAGTAGGTGAGTGAGTGAGTGAAATAATGAACATTTCGTACCGTTCTCATGAACAATGTTGGGAGAGGATTGATTTCCATCAGCTGCTGAAGGACGATAGCCAGTACTTCTTGTGTATAAATAGTTTTCTCGTCAAAACAGAACCTGATGGCTGAGTAAAGTTGCAAAAACGTTAAACAAACAAATAAGAACAAAAATGGAGAGCACAGTAATTGGAAACCTTCAATCGCAAGGACACAAAAATGGACAAATTACACAAATTTTGGTCGACTTTTGGTCAAAACAATAAAATAACTAAATTAGATGTAAAATTATTGAATCAAATAAATGAAGAATACTGCGGGGAGAGTAAATACTGCAAAAAATTATCTAAAAACATAGTAGAGTAAATAATAAGATTCATTTAATTTGAACACAACAGCAAACAAAAAACAGAACCTACCCTTCATAACAGAACGTATGTCTCCTTTAGACTCAAGAGTGTTGGCTTTCTTTGAAGGTTCAATCATATGGAGAGCAACTAACAGTTCTGATGGACTAAGAGGACTGGTGCCTGACACTTTTCCCTCACCTACAGACACAACGACTTTGAATTAAGACCAACAATATGCTCTGATTTATTATCACAAAATGGCCATCTTTCCTGACGATCATTGTCATCATATTGAACTTCAATCATCATCAGCATCAACATGCATCATCAGTTTGCATTTTCTCACTAAAGAGTTAACGTTAATTCAACTTTGCCGGCGTGATTCGTTATCTCAAGCTATCTCATAATTAGCTCCCATTTATCGACATCACGTCACCACCATCACAGTCATCATCATCATCATCCAAGTCAAAATTATCATTAACACAGCCCACTTATTACACTCAACCTCATCTTACTCATCATCATTATCTTACTCATCCTCATCCTCATCATCACCATCATCATCCTTCCGCTTTAAATCTGTTTTATCATGAAAGTTGTCACTTACTATGAAAACATCCCAACAGTCTATTAAACACTTCTTTCACGACGCTTGGTGATTGTTTTATGAGTTTAGGCAATACAGCAATGATTTCCTGTTTTTCAAGTCCTGTCAGTACAGGGATCAGGAATCGTACATCGGCAACGCGCTTATGATAAAGATCTTTAACTCGTTTGACGAGATCAGGTGATGGAGCAGCTGGGGACGGAGATAAAATTTTAGAAAAATTGAGTTAAAGGATGGATGAGAAATGGCATCAATTGACAACTATGTTGTCCAGTCAGAGAAAATTGAATGATAAAACAGTACAAAATATTGGCATTTCACACGAACAAGCATTGGTGGTGCATTAATGAATGAAGTACAAGAAAACCCTCAGACATACATGTACTATAACCTACATGTACTATAACCTACCTTTATCTGTGATAATGTTTAATATTCTGGCGATAAGTGTTTCAGATCCAGTAGGACAGCTCTCTACCAACTGCAGTAACTCAGGAGAAGCCATTCCAATAGCACGGACCTGTCAATCAAACAAAAGGTGATTTCTGTTTTCTACAGATTTGGAAGGCATAGATATCCTTCACAGAGGGCTTGTACTGCCATCCAATGGCAAAGCGATCTAATCATTATTTGTTTGTTTATTTTGAAGATTTACTTACTGGTGTTTCAAGATGGCGAAGTATGATTCTTTTAATCATTTGAGATGACGCAGTATAGATAATTGCCAACCTTTTAATATTTCATATAAGATTTCATCAGTTTGTCATGATTCGTGCAAATATAATAGCAATAAACATATAAAATGGCTCACAAAGGAGCAAATAAAGATTAATATTGGATACTTACTGATGAAATAGTTTGTGATTTTGAGGTAATAATGCTAGATATAAATATAAACAAGTTTTTATGCTTTCATCTGTCCACTCTGCATGGAGAGAAGATAAAAGAAACGTTGTCAATCAGAATGATAAACTTGAACACAAATAAAAAGTTAGGTTATGCCAAACACAAGCTTTATACAACAAAGAGTGATTTTATAAAATGAAAAGTTAGTACCCTTTGGTTCTTCATCTGGCTCTGAAGGTTGCTTTTCTTGTATTAGTAATTCCAATGAGGACAATGCAAATGTCTGAAGACAAACAAAAAAAAACCTAAATAATTATCTGACAGAAGTCATGTTGACAGAAGTCTTGCTTAATTACAAAACTCCTAAAAACTCCTACATTTTCTTTCAACATCAATAATATTTCTTCCACAGATTTTGATTCTCGTGATCTTATTTTAATAATATTTTCTTCCCCATATCCTACCTCAATATCCAGAGCAAGATCAGGTCGAGTATGTAGCTTTTTAGCAGAGTGGATGGCCTGCACACGGACCTGTTCCTTCTCGTTAGTAGTCAGCTCAAGTAATGTTTGTAAGTGTTCATGTTGGGAAGCTGGTCGCTTGAGGATTAAATCTCTTAATGTTGCAAAACCAACATGGAGGGTTTCCTACAAAAACAAAGTAAAAATAAAACAAACTTATGAATATCTTAAAGCATAGTTTGGAACTCAGTGTGCTAGTATGTCGTATGTTTAAAAATCAGGACAAGGTCGAAGAATACTTACTATATTTTCACAATGTAGCTTTACCATTTCCATAACTCTTTCAGTGACAAGGGGAGCCTCAAGGACAACACGTGTAAACAACCTGAAATACAAACAAAACCTGTTAATAAATGGCTGTTCTCTTCAGCTTGGAATTTTGGGAAGAACACAGGGAGACCAAGACACCAAATTCTTACTTGTCCTTTGGATCCATGCGGTGTTGCAATCCTTCTAATATTGTACACAAGCAGTGGTCATATGACATCATATCTACTGGAAAACCTTCCTCCATCTTAACCTCCTGCATCAAATACTCCTGATACAGCCATGTGTGTATCAAGTCATAGTGGGCTCTGGGGTCTTCTTGGATATAATTGTGAAGTTCTGCACAATAGAAATTGTCATGATAATGAGCTTTTTTAATGCCAAAAAGAGGCAGGTATTACAAGAAACGATGTTGCACGACAAAAAGGAAGGGCACTAACAAACATAGCATGCCAAAACACACAAACATACAACCTTTTCCATACAACACAAATAAGCAAGAATCTAAATGAGAATCAGCAAGTTTATCATTGACCAGTCAGCAATCTGAATTTTATATTTTGAATTGTACCTTGTCTAGCAGGGTCTTCACACTGAATGGCCAATCCAACAAGAAGTTTAATTCTTTCCTGACATGGGAAAAAACACATTCCAATATTATTAGCAATGGTCTTTACAGTAAGCATAGTTGTTGCCATATTTCTAAGTAAGTAAAGTGACCACATACCTGAGTAACTCCACTCCTAGTTGCACTGTCTACAAAATGCAAAGTACGTTGCTAAGAAATCTCAATCAGATTGAATTCATAACTTAAATGAGAGGACTTACTTTCAGCTTTGATAATCCTATCAATGGTGCTCATAAGCATGTTCTGTTGTTCTGTGTGATTCATGTCTTTTGTGACCTCGGCTAATTTAAAGGCTTTAATCCTACGCATTCGCTGGAAATAACAAGATTTATTTGCTAAAGTCAAACACTTTGTTTTGAAACAGCCATGTTTCACTTTTTTCCTTGACATGTTATCCATCTTAAACAACGACATCACAGTTCAAAACGAAAAACACTGTTTATGGATCAATAAATAAACAACTTACCAAAGGAGGGATTGGAGCTTCTTTATGTTGAAAAGTCTGAAAAAAATAAAGAAACCAGTTCATGTTTTGTTGTTATTTGAGCTTTATTCAATAAATCACTCTTACTTTTTTGCCTTCTGGTTTTACTTTGTCTTTTGAAACATCAATTTGTCCACCTAAAATATGAGAAAGTTAATAACATTGATAGGATGAATCGATGGACAAAAGTTTGATGGACAGACAGACTGACAAATATGTACATGGATGTGGCTGCCTAGATACAACAAGAAATTAAAACTGTGGATTCATTCTAAAATACTCACTCAGGATTCTTTGTAATGCTGAATCTTTTTTCTCCTTAAATACAATGGAAATATTTCTTAATTCACACAAAAACAATCAAGTTTTATTTGAGAGTATTTATCTCACCCCTGAAAACTCTGCATCGGCATCAGCAGACCAACTTGAACCAATCACAGGAATAGACTGGTTGGATTCATTTTGACCTTTTAACCGTACACGGGGGTCTTGTGCCTGTCAAACATAAGGCAAAGAATGTTATTTATGGTGTCATATCTAGGGGAGGAGTTTTGGGGTTTGCAACTCCTCTATAAAAGTAAGTTTGATATTTCACCTCCAATTTATGCACAATTTAAACATTAAATATACTTACAATGTGCATCACCACTGAGAGATCTACCTCCTAAATAGTACTACGTCCTCAATGAAAAAGCTCGCCATGAGACTTTCACCTTACCTTCTTGAGTGCATCCATTCTTTCAAAGCCAACACCAACACCAGCAGCAGTCATTTGAGATGCAAGCAGTCTTGCTAAGTGAGCTACCTGAGCTTGGCCACCAGCAGCAGCAATAGGAGTGTATGTATCGCTAAAGTTTGTTGGGATATGATCAGGAAGTGACAGCATGCTTATCAGAACAAGATTGGTGACATTATCTTTGTCAAGTAAAGGAATGAGGTCTTGTGCAGTCACGTCAATCGCCTCTGCCGTAGACATTGATATCACGTCTGGATCATCAGCCTTTCAAAATAAACAGTACAACAATAAGAATGAGAATAAGAAAAGATAAACATTGAAAAGAAGATGGAAAAAAGGGAAATAAATGAGAATGTTGTGAGAAAATTGAATAGAAAAATTTGAAGAAAGATGTCAAAAAAGTAGCTACCGGAGAAGGAAAAACTGAGGAGATGATGGAAATGAGAAAGGAAAGTAAAAAAACAGCAGAAAGAAACAGAAAGGATGTGAGAATGAATAAGACAAAATAAAGATTGATTTACATCAGTCAACTTGGATTTCTTGTTCCCTGATGAAGCTTCATTTTCTGCCCTAAAAGACATGATAACATAATCATGTCAAAACCAAGCTACTGGAAAAGTTATCTATAAGTTGTCAAGCTAAACGTTTTAAGCAAATACAGAACTGTAATGGCAGGAACCATGTAACCCTACCTCCTTTTCATTGACTCTGAAGTAGTTTTAGGCATGTTTTTTTGGAGCTATTTATAATAAGCAAGGAAAAAGTTAATAATATTGTGAATTTAATTTTGTAGATTATTTTATTTTGTTTACCTCTGTCTGTGAAGCTCCAAGGTCAGTTAGCAAGGTGGTAATTTGAGGAAGAAATTCAACTAGTGTGTGAAAGAAAAATCAATAACCAACACATACTATTAAAATATTAATATGATAAATAATGATAATTGAAAATTTTAACCAAACTCATCCTGAAGGCAACGTCATGACCAATAATTCAAACTTTAGTGTGAGGAGGAGAATATTGAAGGGTGGAGAGAAATATTGAACACCACTAGAATGAATGATTTGTTTTTTTTTTGTTTTTTTTTTGCAAGATATATAATGAATTCCACGAGTACTCACTTGAACATGGATGTCTTAAAAGATTCATTAGATGTAGCTGAAAATAAAAGAATGATCCATTGCAAATTTGATTGACTCAAAACAACAATAGACTGTTTTTTCCTAACAAAGTTCATCAAAATCTTACCTTAAGGTTTTTCCTGACACTACTAACTTGTGATTTTGACAATGAAGTAGGGAGATTTGCTAAGAAAAAAAAAAACAGATTTGTTATTCAATCTGCTAACCTGCCTCAGAAAATGAAATGGCAAATGGACACAAAACTGGAAATGAGAGTAGCAGCGCATATGAAGATGAATTTCTTTTCAACAACACTAATAATTTTGATGATGAAACACTCAAGATTAAACTAGTAGCTAGTCAACTTATCACTTAATAATCAGCTTACTTTGTGTTTTGATAATAACAATATTATTACTAGTTTACTTACCATGTAATGATTCAAAAGTTTGTACAACAGTTGACATAAAAATTGGACGCTGTCGAGCAATATTTGATAGAGTACCCAAACATGCCATTAAGTTTACACTGAAATACAATAGCAATTTTAATTAATGAAGAATAAATATCATTAGAGCATTTTGAAAAGAGCAATGATTGTGTTTAGTGACACAACTTGTCTTTTTAAAAAATGTTTGTACAATACTGCATCACTGTTTACTTGTTGCTCTAGAGATTGCAGGCTCTGGACTTCAATATAAATGTACAGAATATATACATAACTTTACCTTGATATTGTTGGTGATGCTATCAAAGTCAGCAAAGCTTCTAGTGTTGTACCACCTTCTTCTCTTAGCTCTGCCATTCTGACAAGAGGATGGTTTCGTGGAATGACATCAAGAGAAATGTCTGTTTCACCTTTCTTTGTAGACTCAGAATCCTAACAATATCAAAATGGTTTAATATAATCACACTTTTACATCACTTTACAAAATATTAAAACCATAAAAAGTTGTTATAGGAAGCATTAGGGACCGGTGGACGTGTGGATGTGATTTTTTCCCTTTTTTTCAATTTCTATATGCAACCTATCTTTTCTACTCCCTTCCTTTCAGTATTCCTTTCTCTCTATCCCTCCAACCCTCTTCAAAACATTTCTAGCTAGTTTGATTGCATACTTGTGTTTTGTTAGACTGAACAAGAACAAGCATCTCCATAAACTTTATGGCATGTGTTCGAATTCTGCAACACAAAATGGCACATTCATCAGCAAAGTTTTAAGAGCCACTTCGCGCAAAAATCAGACATATCTTGGCAAGGCTCGAAAAATCAAATCTATTCATATTTTGTATATTTATAAGGTATGATTAGGTAACAATCGCTGTGTAATTGGTTTTTGAAAATATTTCATTTTTCGCAAGAAAATCGCTAAACAATGTCACATACTGGGCCTATGCGTGACAAATGTTTGATGGCTAAAAATAGCACTCGAAATAGCCAAACTTTCTACCGAGCTTGTGTGAAATGYAAAATAGTAATTTCAAAAATTTAAATTGTGGCTTTMTAAGTAACTCTTTCTTATTTATTTCGTTGATTTTCAGAGCATTTAATTAAAAAGAAAATTTTCTAGAACTCTAAGTGTTTGCATATGTAGTYGTATATGCAAATTAGCACCTAGAAAAAAAGATTATTTTTTCTATGTGCAAGTATTTTGTTTGMAATGAAATTCGGCGTGATAACTAAGCAAGGCATGAGCTTTACAAARAAATAATAATAAGTCTGGGCAAATCACTTTCAGGTGCGTAGGAATGACTTATTCCAGTCAAAATTATCAGCGTAAACACATGTTTTGTCAGTTGTATTAACCCAACAATTTTCAAAGGATATAAACACCTAATCAACATTAAACGTATGTTATTGAAAGAAAAAGGGTTAAGCATATTTTCTTTGAACATTTTAGGCAATGTAAATGAATTTCGGTTGTYTAAAACATTTGGTGTTTCAACGGATTATTATCGCCAGAAGTATTCATTTCTATGCAACTGAGAGTGATTTGCCCAGACTAATTTTTATGTATTTGAAAAGCTCATCTCTTGTTTAGTAATCACTACGAATTTTATTGCAAACAAAATACTTGCACGTTTAAAAAATGACCGTTTTGTAAAGATACTAATTTGCATATAAAAATACATATGCGAATATTTCGAGTTCCAGAAAATTTTCCTTTTAATTAAATGGTCTGAAAATCACTGAAATAAATATCAAAGAGTTAGCGAGAAAGCTGCAATTTAAATTTTTAAAATAGCTATTTTAGTTKTTACATGAACTCGGTATAAAGTTTGGCTATTTYGAGAGCTATTTTTAGCAATCAAGCATCTGTCACGCAAAGGCCCAGTATGTGACATGAATTCGCGATTTTCTTGCGAAAAATGAAATATTTTCAAAAACCAATTACACAGCGATTGTTACCTAATCATACCTTATCAATATACAAAATATGAACAGATTTGATTTTTCGAGCCTTGCCAAAAAAATTCAGTTTTGTCTGGTTTTTGCGCGAAGCGACTCTTAATTTCTTATGAGAAGATTTAGTACTTTTGCATCAGCCTTACCCATCATTATCAGAGTCCAACATTGAAATGATCTGATTCTTAATCTCTGTAAGGACCTATAATAAATAATGAAAATATTGTATCATATTACTTTTAAGTTCAGAAAAATAGCAATAAATTCTAAGGCCATGGTTGTGGTGAAGAAAAACAGTCATGCAAATAACTGTAATGATGTCAATTGTCAATTGTTTTAAATGTGTACCTCCCACATGTTTTCAAGCTCTTCTGATATTACTCTTTTCTTGCATATATACTGTAAACAAAGATGCATTGTACATCTATTTATTTTTTCAAAGAATGCATTAATTTTCCAGAGAATTTCCAGGTCTATTTTTTTTAAAAATCTCATGTACAGTAAGTATATCATGACAAAGCATATTACCGGTAGATAATTTCTTTTTACCTGCAAAGCATACTTGTACAATTGTGTAAAACATAACATGACTCTCTTTTGAACTGCAACATTTTCATCATTCAACATAAACACAAGGTTTCCCAAAACTTTCCCAAGAAGTTCAACATCCTTTTTGCTGAAAAAAGAGGCAATAGTTAATATTTATACCATTMATCCATAGTGTTTACCAATTCTTTCATCATTCTCTCACCAAGCTTCTTCAACGAAACCAACTACAAACTTTCTGACATCAGCAGACTTGTCTTGTTGAAATACCAAAATTTCCTGGAATTACAGAGAACAATTTATTATAATATCATAATTATTATGTCATATTTTAAGCACTACTTCTAAAAACTAGAAGATGCTTGTGTTTTATGCTGGTCTTACACATACAGACTGAATCTCAATATTGTTGATAGATAGTGATAGAAACTACTTACATCTAAAAAGTTGTCTAGAAGAGATGGGTCTTTTTGCACAATAAATTCCTGGACCTGTTGATAAAAGAAAGACTCGCGATAATGAATTGATAGTTGTACTCATTCAGTGCTGCATGGATGTACTGTCAGAGCATACTCCATGAATAATAACAATCAAGATAGAAAGATCAACATTTCAAGCAATCATATACATGTTAGGAAAGATGAGATACATGTACAGTGAGGTGGCTGAAGGGACTTGCTTGTGAAGCATGCTACATGCTTCACATTTAGTGAAACTGGAGTTGAAATACTCTTGGTTGGTTGTATGTATCTAGTGTTGCAATAGATATTGACCATTACATGGCCATGTTTCACTAATGCATAACTTACTTGTTTCAAACAATTCAGTTTCCCTTCTTTCTCAAGTTGTGCTTGATTCAAGAGATCAATAACCTGAAACAATTTTAAAGCGTGATCATCTTTACATGTTTACATGTACTGTAAGCTTATGTACAAACCTATTATAAAGAGATTGCACAAAATGTTGAGAGGTGAAGTACACTGGTACATTGTAAAACACTTAGTTTACAGATTAAATCCCTCACACACACTTTAGTCATTCTGGACATACTATGAAAAACACCGAGTGACAAGAATGATGTTCAAAACAAAACTTTTCTAGCATGGAACTTTTGATCGCGTGGTACTGTCAAACATGAGATTTCAAATAACACACTTAGCCACCTTACCTTATCTGTTGTTGAATCCTCGGTTGTAACTTCAACAGGAACATCTGTCGTTTCTGCCTCTCCTGTTTCTTCATGGCTGAAGAACTGTGAAGCCTCAGAAAGCCGGGTTAGATTTTTCACTTCGCCACGAACTCCAGCCGCCATTTTGAATTCGGCGAGGATTAATTTTGGTGACAGGTAACATGAAGGTTCTACCTTACAATTGGCCAGCGGTAAACTATTTCAAAGATGGCGACCAAGGTTTTTGGTCAAATGAAACACTGACAAATCGTCGGTTTTAGCGATGCAGCATAACTTCAATCCGTGAAATACTTTCTGAAATTTAGCACAAACATGGGGCTTCTTACTATTTTAAAGAAAATGAAGCAAAAGGAAAAAGAAGTCCGTATTTTGATGCTGTATCCTTTGACCATAAATTTTCACCACACAACTGTAGCTATAAACAAACAGTGTACAAATATTTATGGAAAGCTCATTATTAGACAGAAAACTAAATGGCACAAAAAAAGGAGAGAAGAGTTATTTTGTATCCAGTTTAAATTGTATCCAGAAATTACTATAACCTAAAGTTCCCCTATAGTTATACAAGAGCTTTACTTATACTACAAGTAACTAAATGATGTTCAATATGAATATCCTTGACTTTGATATCAGAGGACTAGACAATGCTGGTAAAACTACCATTCTTAAGAAATTCAATGGTGAAGATATCAACACTATTGAACCAACATTAGGATTTAATATCAAAACTTTGGAACACAGGGAGTAAGTCTTAATAAATATCATTATTATTATATGTAACTAAGACTGTTCTTTGATTAATTTGATGTTGTTGACATTAATGTTCCAGGTTTAAATTAAACATTTGGGATGTTGGTGGTCAAAGGTCTTTACGCTCTTACTGGCGTAATTATTTTGAGAGTACAGATGGTCTTATATGGGTTGTAGACAGTGCCGATAAACGAAGGCTAACGGACTGTCAAACTGAATTGAGTGGTCTGCTAAAGGAAGAGGTATCAATGTCTTCCTTATGAACTGTTATTGTTGTCAACATTGATTTTGCATCAGACATCATAAGATTAATTATATATTATATGTTCTTTTATGTCAAGCACTTTCTTTCTTTCTTATCCAAAAATTCACATAAATATAACTAAGAGTCTTGAACAGTCTGGTTAACAAAGGAAGCCCACAACATTATTTGTTTTGTAGAGACTAGCAGGAGCTACTCTACTTGTGTTTGCCAATAAACAAGACTTGCCTGGAGCATTATCAGCAGAAGAAATCAGACAGGTAGGTGGAACACTTTAGCTTGTCATACCCTACCCCCAGACAACTCATTTTGTCTCCTTCAGGCTTCCATTACACTTCCTGACATAATGTAAATGCTTATATTGAATGTTAGGGACTAGGCACAAAACTTGTTATGCCACAGGAATCCCATGAAAATGTTTAGTCCCATCTGCGGCATTCATTTAATGCTGGTGTCTATGCAGGGTGTGTCTAAACACGTAAAAACAGCTGACTATTTTAGGTTGGAGTTGTATCTTTGACTTATTATCCCTTGTTCATTATAATTTCCAGGCTCTTAACCTCGACTCAATCAAGAGTCATCATTGGCAGATACAATGGTGTAGTGCAGTAACAGGAGAAAAGCTTCTTGATGGCATTGATTGGTTGATATCAGACATTGCATCTCGAATATTTACTATGGATTAGAATACAAGTAATGATCTCACAAACTGGGCAATGGCCAGACACTGAACCATGCTGCAAAGAGCCTATATTTCTTTTCAGACTATATATAAAAACTATGTGAAAATACATTAACAATAAACCATACATGTATATATTTCTGGATGTCTAAAAAATTGATTGTTAAAATGTAAATTTTTGACTATATAAATTCAATTTAATTGTAAACTATTAGGAACTATTATCTATGTATTAAATCTAACTAGAATTCATTGACCTCAAACTCTACAAGTAATAATATGACTGTATCAAAACTTTGTCAGTTTGTATTAAAAATGACTGCACTCTCAAATGTTTGTAACACAGATACCCAAACTCAACTTCACAATGTTCTTGGCTCCCTTTGTTACAAATAATGACTTCATAGAGTGAACGCACTTAATCTGTGCAACTGTACAAAATCTAAGTAGTACTAATTTGTACTAAAAGTGGACCTGAAGCAAGACGGTATTGAATGCTTCATTTGTATCAATTCAATTTCGTTTGCGTACCGCATGCACGATTTACTACATACAACTATATAGAACTATTTAGTTTGTACAGTTGCACGGAACTCTAGAAATCACAATAGTGTCCTGTACTGTTATTAGTTTATAGTTTGTGTTTCAATGACTTCAACTTCTTTTTCTCTTGTTCTCTCAACTGGCGTCTTAAAATCTTTCCACTGGGATTCTTAGGAATGCTTTCCACGAATTCCACTCCACCCCTAAGTTTCTTGTGAGGTGCTACCTTCTTAGAAACAAATCCTATGATATCTTGTTCTGTCAACTTAGCTTTAGTGACCACAAATGCCTTGGGGAGTTCGCCAGCTTCTTCATTTGGTATCCCTATTACTGCTGCATCTGTTATTTGAGGATGTGAGAGGAGAATGTCTTCTATCTGTGCTGGGGGGACCTATTTAAGACAAGGAATTAAAGAAGAAATGCATAAGCACTTTTCTTTTAGGGCTTAGACCTCGACACATCCTCAAGAGAGTTCTTAAAATGTGCTTTTTTTTAGACAGTTGGTCTGCATAATAAGGCCATCCAAGTCTTCATTTAAAAGTACTAATATTATAAGAGATGAACATTATACCTGAAATCCTTTATATTTTATAAGCTCTTTGACTCGGTCTACAATAAAGAAATGTTCATCTTCATCATAATGACCAATGTCACCAGTATGGAGCCAGCCATCTTGGTCAATGGTTGTCATGGTTGCATCACGTTTGTTGTGATATCCTACAGAGTATTGAATGTAAAGAAAACTAGCAAATGTTGGGCAATTTTTCCTGAAATTGTTGGTGCAGACAAGGGGGCTTTTTTCAGGAGCAAGCTACCTCGAGTACTTGCCTTTACAGCAGAAACCGTTGCATCGCGACTTCAATGTTCAAAGGAAATAGTTGGGATTTAGGTTTTTGTGCAACTTGTGGGCGGAGCTTGATACCAATCAGCCAATGATTGAACGAGTTTTCGAAAGCTCCGCCCCTCAGATTGAAAGAAAGAACAAAATCCAGACAAACTTCAAAACAAAGAGGTCACGATGCAACAATTTCCGCTGTAATAAATGGGGGAGGGGAGCTATCAAGAGGATATTCAGCCCCCAACAAGAGGTGTAGTGACATTTGGAATCACTTCTTCTGGTGGAAACTAGAGTTGAGCACTTCTGGCTTGAGAAAATGACTTTGACTTGATATAGTACCTTTCATGATATTTGGTCCTCTAACACAGATCTCTCCATCTTGTCCAGGACCAAGTAGAGCTCCAGTCTCAAGGTTAATCACCTGCATATAAATCACAGCAAATCAAGCTTTATACATTCGTCCTACTGATGTTATACCTCATGTTTGAATCTGAGTCTAAATAGCTACATGAATTCATATATGACAAGTTATGAGCACCTTGGCTTCTATGTTTGGCAGTAGCATTCCAACAGAACCTATTTTGACTTTATCAGGAGGTTGTGTCATCAAGGAAGGGGATGTTTCTGTCATTCCATAACCTGGAAAGAGAATTCATTATTCCATTTTAGTGCACAACATTTTCGGTATCAAATCACAACTCTGATTGAAACTGATATATTGAATTCAGTGATTTAGACTAAAACTATTTGTTGTGTGTAATGTTATATCAGTCTAACCTTGACGGATAAATTTTACTTTTGGAAACCGTCTCTTCARTTGCATATTGGCATCCTCTCCAAGTGGAGCCGCACCACACAAAATAGCCTCCACATGTTTTAAGTCATACTTAAGAACAATAGGATGTTTTGCAAGGAAAACTGCAATTGGTGGCACAATAGTAAGAGTCGATATCTATATAGAGAATGAAAAGAAAAGCAATTACATTTGGAAAGTGTACTTCAGGAAACTGTTATCATTGTGGCCTATACTGAGCTTCAAAGTAAGGCGTTGCAAGACTAATTGCACGTTCACACTAACTTTAGTTTTGTTATAAAATTAAAGCACAAGCCTTTGTCTGAACGAGTCCGATATTTCAGCAATTGTGATCTTCCCTGCCAAAAGGGATTTTAAATCCAAGCCCCTTTCTTTTTAAGCACCAAGCTTGCAAGCCTTGGGGAATTTTAAGCTACAATGTATCCCCGTGATTTCTGAGACACCATTCTATCCCCCTTATATTAAATTTGACTATTTTAATTTTATGTTGCATGGATATATTGTTTGCACTCTACCAGATAGTAAACTGTATGAAAAACAGTAATTCATACAATAATTTAATATGATCACACCTTATAATCCTGTATAGCCTTTAAAAATGAAGCAGGTTCAAAACCATTGATACACACAACATTATATCCAAAAAACAATCCTGCACCAAGCATTACACCAAGACCATAGCTATGAAAGAAGGGCATTAAACCAAGCATCACTCTGGTCTGTATAACAGTTAGGCCACCCTGAGAAATCTGGTACTTATGAGCTATTAAATTGAAATGAGTTAGCATGACTCCTTTCGGGTGACCAGTGGTGCCACTGGAATAGGGTAGATAGAGAACCTCTTCTCTCCAGTTTCTTGGTTCATAGAACTGAAACAATGATCCATTATCACCAAATATCAAAGTGGACATTGACATGAAGCCATCAGCCTCACCAAGGGTATAGAGACTTTTTATGTTGAGTTTTGAAGCTGCTTCTTTGACTTTTTGGCTTAATTGAGGAATCGTCACAACGTGTGTTGCTTCAGAATCTCTCAGTTGATAAACAAATTCATCTACAGTGTACGAAGGATTCAGTGTTGTGACTATTACTCCTACAGACGTGGCACCATACACAATGATAGGATACTCTGGGACGTTGGGAAGTATAAGTGCAATGGTTTCCCTTGGTTTAAGACCAGCACGTAGTAAACCAGATCCACATTTCTTTATGAGTGAGATTAGTTGCCTGTAGGTGTATGACCTGTTTGACTTACTGTCGACCTACATGCAAAAAAACACACATTATAATATTAGATATGGTGGGTAAATGTGAGGAGAATGTCTTTCTGTTCAAAATTATGGAAAAAATATAAATGTGAATACCAGCTGCCAACCTTAAAACAATATTTCCTATTTTGTTGGCCTAAAAAAATTATGCAATTTAACACCCCCACCCTACTACCCTGGTTCCAGAGGTTTGACATTTTATCTCTTCTCTTGTTTTTGTTGACGTGAAGCCCGTAAGGGCGAGCGAAAATTACGGGCTCGAATACGCGGCTTTGCGCCAACAAAAAAATCTGAATCTCTGGAACCAGGGTACCCCACCTCCTCCCCCTCCAATTACTTCTAATCGTTGACCGGATTTATCCTCGACGATTGCGGATTGCATAATTAAGAAAATGCAATTCTGGGTCAATTCTGAAATGAACACCCTTGTCTACTACTTCCGCAGACACCACAAGGCTTTCAATTTGCATAAGACTTAAAAAGGACCGTATCTTGTTCGTAATGGTACAAGCTTTGTAAATTGCAAATTGAGTCGTCGTGACCGTGTTGCTCAATTCACATTGACCTCACATTAGATATTATGAAGTCTTAAAAGACTTTAAAAAGACATAACAAATTTCTCCAAACGATCGACACTTACTATTGCAGTATTGTTCCCATATTCCTCAAATTTCTTGAGCATAAAGCGAGGAAAAGATTTCTCATCTTCTGGAATCACCACCGAGGATTTGCTCCGTACAATCGCCATGTTGCTTTAGTCTATAGACCCGGGATGGAACTTGAGATGTTTATCAAGCATAAATCACGGTTAAACACACGTGACCAACTGTGACGAAACACCCACGAAATCTTCAAAATGATGACTTTGTCCAACATGAGTATTTTTGGTGGAAAAATGAGAGAGAAAGTACGAGCTGAGTATTTTTAATTTGCAAAAAGGTTGATGAATAAATGCGATTCAAATAAAACTGAAAATTGAATATGAGAAAAAATGAACAAATGGACAAAAACAATTTCAAGTTCAGTTTGAGACACAATTAGATATCACTTCCACTTTTCAAAAAATCGAGAAACCAATAGCAAAAAAGTTTGGCAAGCTTAAAAACGTTCTGGGAACAAGAGTTTCTAAGGAAATGGATAACTTCGGCTCTCCTTGAAAAATAAGAAATAAGGACTGTGCAATAATTACCAGGAGGGGGGGCCGTAAAACCAGAGGGGGGAGGGGCGTTACATAAAATTGATGGCAAAATAGGGGGAGGGTCAAAGTAATTTTAACAGAAGGGGGGCTTAAGTTTCATTCAAAATTTTCATAATTTTTGATGTCTCTCAAAATGCTGGAAATCGCATTTCCAAGAGTTATTTTTTTCAAATTTTTCAAATTTGTTTTTTAAAAATTTCTGGCGGAGGACCAGACTCCTTTAATACTCCCGCCTTTGGCGTTCGTTAGCCTCCAGATCCAAAATATATGTCGCGGTCCATGACATGTGCATAAAAAGTCCAGTTTTTTATTGATACATTGAAATTTTTTCCATTTCTTGAGATATTCCCCCCTTGGATTTTTTAGTACAACGCAAATAGAAATCCGTCACTTAAATTCTAATTTGTGCATCTGCATCTGTAACACTTCAATTACGTAGTTACCATACTACACCCCAACTGCACCCAAGATTGCGTGACGTCTTTCCGCTTCTATGACGTCATTCTAAACAGAGTAAATTAACCCAGTAGCTTTTTTTTTTTTAACGACAGAAAATATGAAAACTGCTTGAATGGGAGCTAGGCTATCTTTTCTTGTTCAAAAGCGTTTATATTTTTTTATGGACTGCACTAAAAACATGAGAGGAAAGAAATGAAGCCGTGATATGCTGGTTGTGTGACAAAACACGCGTGACTCTTGAGGGGAATTTGATACACCTCACTCTACGTGTGTTTGGTGTTCTCATCTGGAGCAAGCTGAATGAGGAAAAACCGTCGCGTGTATTTTCAGGGTTTTTAAACTCGGAATATTTCTACATTGGCTACAGAGAGTAGTCTCGTGATTTGTTAATGACAGAATAAGGCCTTATTTGTCTATGATTGAACGCAACTGGTCATTTGGAACATTGTTTGTAGGCCTAAAATTCGAGGTTTGTTAGTCAACTGTTTGCCTTCGTTTCTTTCATTGGTAAAAGGGGAAATCTGCGTGACCTAAGACATCAGTAAGCTGACTTCAAACAAGAAAATCTCAAACTGTGTTGATGCCCAGTTAACAGCTAACAAAGTATACTTTGAACTTGCATTTCAACACGATCCTGTGATCAAACTTTACTAAAGATTGATTCTCATCAATTATTGATAGACTATATCGTGGCCATGGATAAAATTGGAAAGTTCAAAGTACCATAATTCTCAGTGTCTTTTACTTCCAGAGATATGAATGAAAATTGTATCGAAGCGTTGTTCATGAAATCTCGGCAAAGCTTTTACTACGACATGGCCTACGATAGTCAATCCGATATGTTCACATCTTTGGAAATGTTCAGTTCATGTGATGCAAATAATCCAACTTCGCCAACTAGCATACATCAAGTCAATTGTACTGGGACCCCAATTTATTCGTCGCTGAACCAAGTAGCTCCTCCCTCCGTGTACAACACTAACTTGGCTTCCATAATAACATCAAAATCAACATCGGACTGCATTACCTCGAAACAAGATAAAACTACAAAAGCATTAGATTTAAACAGAACTAGTGTCAAATTGTGCGGTGTAGGTACTAGTAACAATTCATGTTTGGACGATGTAGACAACCGCACTGATTCTACAAATGTGAACCTGCATGAACAAATATATCGTGATCAATATACGTTACGACGTAGTGGCTTGAGAGAGCCCCCAATAGTTGTAATCACGCCTGCTTCAGCTCTAGATAGTGAATCCGAGATGGACACGAGAGATCCAAATGCGCACAATGAAAACGGAGAATTTATAGACGGCGGATGCTTGAACGACGGCATCGATAGCTGCTCCTTGTCGAGTGCATGTTCAGAGGATCGTTCAGAGGATGATATACCGACAGATGACGATCCATCTGAGAGCGACAGTGCGCAACAACCGGATGAAAAAATACGAAAGGTAAAACTTTGCACATCCGTTACTAACTCTCGGCATTTTGTTGTTCTTTTGTGCAGTAATATTTCAAAGATGGCGGTTTTTTGTTTGTTGTGGTTAAACTATTCAGAGAAATTTCAGTGACTTCTTAGCCTAGGTTAATGATTATTTTAAAACAAGTCGTAGAAAAGACTGTTTATTATTGATTCCAACAGAATTCAAGCTTTGTCATTAGACAGTCTGTCATGAAATTTTCAAAATAGCCTTTCCTCTACCTTTTCATGGTGATGAAAGATCTATCGAGCATTTCGTTTACTCACTGTTTAGGGGTCTGTTTGCCCAAGGCGAAAGAAAAGCTTTCTTTATTTGAGTTCTGTGTTTATCTCACAGCCAATTTGTTTTTATTTTTTGTGGTTTTCAAGCGCAATAATGAGATTTTATCGCACTACGGAGAAGCTGGCAGATAAATCGTTACATAGGTCCATAACATTGTTGGCAGTTAGAGAAAGGCAATTTATCCTATACAATGTACACATCGAAATTATTCTGTTCCTTTTGATGTACCAGAAAAGGCTTATTGTAATTTATCCATTTTGCACCAGTTCGCTATTGATAGAATAGCTTTGTTTGAGTAATAAAAGCCGCAGTTCAGCATGTTTCAGATTGATTATTGTTACTAAATGTTTTTTCATTTTTTCTCGGATGCTTATACTCCTTGATATCAATGATCAAGATAATTTTAGAAAATTAATTCGAGATTTACTGTAAAAGAAAACGAATACTTTTGAGGGTGAATGTAATTTGCCTTTCTTGAATCGTTTTGAAGGAAAAGCTTTATATAATTACATAGAGTTCAAAATTACAGTCTTGTTTATGCTCACTCTCACCATACATACTTTTCCTCAAATTGCTCATTACATGGTTTCCATGGCAACATTTACGTCATGAAAGCCTAAATTTCACTTTGTAATATCTGTGTCTTCTCAGACATCAACCAGTAATTGGAAAAAAATCCGACGTGTCATTCACTGGTCACCTTTTGTCCAAAACTTCAAGAGAAAATATCCTTGGGTTCAACTCGCAGGTCATCAAGGTGAGACAAATCGAACCATATTGAATCTAGAACAAAACAGATGTTTACTACATGTTGTGCAATGAAAGGGCAGGATATAGGCAACCAAATGTGCAAATGAATTCTTTTTTTAAAACACTGTTTCACTTGTTAAAAAAATAATGATCGCATCCAACAGCTGTGTGACTAACATAATTTTTGTGCATGTAATTAAAACTTATAAATAGTTTTTTTTTAACTAAAGCAGTATAGCCTCTGGGTTGCTATCATCTTTTGAATTCTTATTGCAATGGCTTGGCATACATAATATTGACTTTATGGGTAGTTATCATAAATTACTAATCAAAGTACAAATAAACTGAACAATACCGATCAATTATGATTCTATTCATACTGGTATATCAAAATACTAGGGGAAAATAACGTTTTGTGGAGTTATTATCATGCAAACAAGAGTTTTTGTTCATAGAAGTAGTGCTGGACAGCTGTTCCCATATAATTCAGTAATATGATCTATTTTAAACAGCTAGTTTGTAATATGATGCAAGTATTGAAGGCAAGTGCCATACTTCAGACTCTAACATATTCTCTTTCATAACTTAAACATGTTTAGGTATGATTTTACTTGCCATCACAAATAAGACAAAGAAATTTCAACAAGTTTTTTTTTTTTTTTAAATAAAGTTTTGTATATTCACTTGTTATTAGAGCTATGTAACGTATTATTATTATATTTTAGCCATGTCATTTTGTATAATATACAATATTATTGTGCCAAGGGTAAGGCATGAACTATGTGGCCACCTTCACCAGGTGCAAAGTCTATCAAGCTGAGGCTGCCATACCTTGAGATTAATGCACACCCATTGTAACCTCCAATTTGATTGTTTGTTGTTGTTGTTGTTGTTTTGCAATATGGCCGACCAAAAAAAGGTGAACAGAGACCACTGATATTTCACTGATTATTTGTGCACAAATATTCACGCCCTATTTTCAAATGACTTCAAATTTCATAAAAAAATCATAATAAGATATTTGCAAATTTCATGAAAAAATGGGAGATTTTACGTTGCAATCTTGAGGCCTGGTGATACAATTCAAAGAGACTCTAATCTTATTAAGAGGGGTTGAAATCCCTGCTTTTMKAGTACTTCACTRTCTTTGACAGGCASTCTTTTGTGTTATGCCTAACAGTATTAAATGCTGACACAAGTGAGCTGCTGCATTGGAAGCTTGTACAGCTATATTAATCAATCTATTGTTGACATGACAGATACAAATGACAGACTAAATTAATCAATGCAAACAATGTCACTAACTTTTGAAGTGTTGTAAACATTACTTTGTGGTAAAAATAATTGGAAATTTTGTTTGCTTAAATAATTTTGTGAAATATCTAAGATCCTTATATTAATCATATAGAGWTGATATGAAGAAAGAATTTGCCTTTCAATGTGCTTCCAAGAATGATAAGTGCATGCATGAATGGCTATTTCAATCATTTGAACATAGTTTACAGATTTTATCAGCTTTAATATTCAATACGTGTTTCACTGTTTAATTRTTTTCTCTTAAGAATGATAATTATATAACTGAAAATGTGATTAAAAATATAGTAAATTTTAGACCATTGCCAGATGCTTCTACGCAAAGCCACCCTTTTGTTTGCAGTCTTATACTGTCACCTCTTCATGACAAACAGTTGTCTTTGCAAAAACTCCCAAGCTGTCTCACAGCTGACACTTTCTTGTGCCCTTTTCTATGTATTATATATAGGGTATAATACACATTGTAGTGACATTTATGACTCCTATTTCTACACTACAGGTAGTTTTAAAGCTGGTGAAGATGGAAACATATTAAAAAAGACATCGGAAAAGG